AATTTTGTGGTGTATGGTAGCTGGTCGATTATTGTTAATGTCTTAAAATGTCCCAGACTTTTGCGCCAAGCGTAGAAGATGTGAATTGTTGTTTGAAAACCACACACAAAATCAAACTAATACACGGTCCATCCAGATTTCACGGACCTTGTCTCTCGGCTTTGCCTCCTAGAACAGTGGAGTGGTCTGGTTGTTCGTGGGGTGGTACGTATAAAGATCCTTCAAAGTAAAACCCAGAGGTGTATGAGTGTGGGTTTTGAGGAGGAGGGATAGTTGAATTTATAGAAGGATAGGGGCTTTGTGACGAGTATAGACGAGCACTACCTTGCTAATCGTAGCACAAGGTAGGTTTGAGAACGACAATATGACGAGGTTCCCAGTGATAGCAGGCTCCTGACGCACAAACTGTAGTGCTCAGAAGGACTCTAATTGAAAGGGATGACAATGACTTCAAAAGTGGGAAGTGACGATGACAGCAGTTGACAGTGATAGAAGTGGGAAGTGTTGTGACCACACTGGATCACAAGTAGCAGAGTAGTGAACTTGAGAGTAGGGAAGAAGTCTGGATTGGAGTTCTTGTTCTTTTTACAAGGTAAAATACAGGGGTTTATATAGTAAAAGAGAAGTAGGCTATGCACAGTATAGCTGTGCAAAAAGAATGAGAAAGAATATGAAGGAAGGAATGTACGCTGACGAATCCTGCGTAGGTAGTACAGGATAAGATTGTCAAAAAAAGAAAAGAAAGGGATAGAACAATAAATGCTGTGAGTAATATCACAGGTTTGTACAGCCATAAAGTAAAGTCCAATAGCAAAAGGAGAGCAGGAAAATCATGATGTCATGGGAAGATGCAGTAAAAAAAGAGCAAGGCAAAACACTATCAGTATCAACACAGTTCCTTTATTGTCAGTCAGACATTCTAAAAAAATATGTGTCCATAAAAATGATTCAAAAATCAAAAATAATTGCACTGTAAATGAATGTTCTGCTGAAAAAAAGAAACTGGAGCCACCGGTCCACCACCTAGTCCAAATCTGATGGTTCCATGGCCTTACCAATGGTCTGGTTATATTGGACCACCTGATCAAACGAGGGAGGGAGGGGAGTGGTTCCAATTTAGAACAAGTGAGTCCCAGGCAGCATGTGGTAGGTGTAGCTATAGCGAAGACGATGGACAAAAGATAAGTGTACCCAAGTGAATGGGACAGCGATGAACATGGGCGACGCAAGGGGATGAACCTTCTCCAGCTCAAAAACTACCCACCCACGCTCCAACCAGGCAAGACGAGCGACCAATGTTTTGATAGTATATGATGGCAGATCGACGTCATGAAGATGGACCTGTTGCCCTATTTGGACCGGCCGCCGGGGCTTTGCTGATATCAGCAGTGGCACGTGGTAGTCAACGGATCGGCGACGGAAGCGGATAGGAAGTGGTGACATCAGAAATGGTGGGGGTGCAAAGAAGATGAGGAGGAGGAGGGTGGAGGTGACGAGGAGGTGAACTAAAATGGGGACCCAGAAACGACCGTCGGGTGAGAATAAAAAGGAGAGGAAGGGGCCCATGGTGGGGCTAGGCAAAGGAAGGGGAGTAAGGGAAACGACAAAAGCGAGGGCGCAATGCAATGTGTAGCCAGTGGCGACGCGAAAATTTGCCGAAATGCCGAAATGTGGAAAGTACCGGATGGAAAAGCAAAGGTGAGCGTGACTGGATTGCCTAATAGAGGTGGTGCTGATCAGCCACAAGTTCAAAAAGGGCAATATTAATTACTATTCCACGTGGCACTGTGCCTGTGTGGCGCAAAGGCGAGTCTTTTTGAATATTCGCTTCGTTATTGACACCTGTCCATGCTACCAATCAACTTTGGTGCATGACACCGCTCTTTTTAGCAACTCGTACTATTTGTGATGTGCCTGTGCATGATAAGTGACAAGTATTTGTTCGCTGTGTGAGAAACGACGTTTGGGATGCATGTCTAGTTGTAGATAGAAATGACTGAGCATTCGAGTGAAGTCGCGCTTCCAGCCCGCTTTGTCCATCTCATTGATGAGACAAGTGCGAGCGATGAAAATCTGGTTTAAGGTTAAGTCTTCGTCGTGTTTCGCGTTTTTGGATGCACAGTAAGAAGCGGCTGGTTTGAGTGCAACCTGATTGTTGTCGTTTGTGATCATGCTGAGAGTGTTCGCTATGGTGTGCTGATGTGCAAAAGCGTCTCTGCAGCCCTCCACTGTGAAGTACCATAATTCGATATAGTCACCGCTTTCGACTTTATTGATTGCATAGGGTGATGGTTTGTCGATAACGAAGTCTGATATGGTAGTTTTGGTGTCAATTTCGTTGAAAGTGAGTTTCGTGTTACTCAGATTGATAGGTTCTTCTACCGGACCGAGGGCTGGAGCGATGCTGGGCACTGGAGAAGGGGAACGGGGGGGTTCGGGTGTGGGAATTTGAGGTGGTGCAGGATTTTGCGTGACCCAGTCCTGTATCATGTGTTGAATGGTTTCGTCTTTGTTCCAGTTGTTGATTTGCATTAAAGCGTTTTGCATGTTGAGAAAGCTGGGGTTCCGAAAATTGGGGCATCCTTTGGGGATGACCAGTGGTGCTTGTTCGGGCATGATGTTAAATGAAAGTAGTGGTAGTTGTTGGTGTCTATGCGTGTGATTCAAAAAGAATGAAGTTTAATAATGATGGTGAGGCTGTTGAGCAAAGAATTGCCAGCCAGTGGAGGTGTCAGAGAGGAAGCGAAGAACTTTCCTTCCGCTGTCACCAAAGACATAGTCCTATTGTGTCACGTGCAAGATGTGACACTATAGGCTGTCAAATGATGATGAGTGATAAGGAATGTCACATGCCGTCACATGCTGTCACAGCATGAAAGGCAATATTTTGCTATGACGCTGCTGGCCAGGAGATTTCTCAGTGTCAGTCTTGTTCATCTACACGATTAAATATATAGAGTATGCATGTCTGTGCGTATTATACAAATCAGAGAGTTTCTGTTTATTTAGTTTCTTAGTTAATGTGTTGTATTAAGCTTGAGGCACGTGGGTTGATCTGGTGTGAAAAGGACTGGTAGTACACTGTATAGCCACCACATGTATATATGGATGCTTTCATAGCAATTATAGCCTTTATAGCACAAGATTTCCCTAAAAACAACACAATAATATTCATAATTTGAATTTACCATAATGTCTGATAAGTGTATTTACTACTATAATTGTTGAGATAAAATTTTGTACAAACATCCAAAACATTACTGTGAGTTCAATTGAGTGGACAATTATCTCTAATTCCCCCAAAGACTGGAATCAAATGACAAACCTGTTTAATTGCAGAAAGGGGTGTAATATCACCAGGCAGGTAGCCAGAAGCATTAGGCCTAGGTTTGGTGACAGAGTACATCATATGGTTGTTTTCAGCTGTTGGGCTTAGACAATTAAACCGTTCAATATAAGCCAAATGATATTGGGGCCAGTTAGAAGGGGCACTATGTGTGCCATATAAAGTTGTAGGTAACTTGAAGATCACTCTGAGACGTCCAATTCTTGTGCTTTGTACAACTTTTAAACAGATAGTAGATAGAGCTTTATATTATAGAACTTACCTGTCAAACCTGTTGATTCACAGTCATTGGAGTTCATTACTACAATAGTATCAAACCTAGGATGCTGTCCACCAACGCTTGAGGGTTTTGCCTTTACAGCATCCATTTGGTCATCAAACAAGTCCACATTGTTTCCAAGAGTCTCAAGGGAGAATTTGATTTTGAATGAATGGAAAACATCAAGTTTTTGAAATGGAAGAGGATAAGATTCTGTTTGTGCTCTGGAATGGGGCTGCTGTAATTTTGAATTAAGATAGAATTTGAGTACGTCCTCAAAGCCTGGGCAGGAGTGCTTCTCCATGATAGATATAAGTGATTGTTGGGATTTGCTTGGATTCTTTGCGATAATGATATGACGATCCTGAGACTTGGCACAAAGGAAAACATCTTTGTCGTCTTTTTCCATGCTCATTTTAAGGTAACTCTCAAAAGTAAATATTTTTTCCCTTCGCAGCAGCCAAAAAATACTGAGAGATTGGGTAAGGTAGCCCAAGGTGGTATCATCATGCATTGGGTATTGTGCTATCTGAATAAAGTCTAAAAGTGATTGATAGGTGATGATAGCATGACGTGGAAGTTTGCCAATAAGGCATCCCAATAGTGTTATGATACACAATTTCTGGACCTTTAATTTTCATTCTCCTCTTTAACTTTCTACTGTAGTTTTCACACACTGTGCCATGCGGCACTTTCCATTTTGTTCAAACTCCACCTTCTCGCGCTGCACTGCCTTTTTTATTATTTTAGCTACAAATCTCTCATGCAGTGGAGCTGGTCACATGAGCTGTGCCCCATGACATCATCAGCCACTGCTTTCATCAACTGTACAGTACATAAGTACAAACACGCTGTAGTAGTATATAAACCTCAATAGATCCAGGAGACTCCTCAGCGAGTCCTCCTGTTGTTTCCCCACAACTAACTCGGTCCTATCTTAAAGGGTAACCACTCCCTCTCATTACTCTTTTGCTTGTCTGAGTTGTGCGCCAGAGTAACTAACTCTTGGTTGTTACAAATAGTATCTTTGCATATCTTTCCGTTTCTTCCCCCCTATTTGACCAAGAGCAGAAAAGCCATTCTTGAAATAACAAACACCAAAGTAGGGAGGAGTGCTCTGATGTGTGCATCAAGTTCCTTAGGATCTAGTAGTTTCTGGCACCAATGCACCATGTGCTTGAAAATGCCCTGGTATAACTGGTGGAGGACATCAGAAGTGATTGCAATATGGATGTTACAGTGAGAAAACCCAGTCCAAAAGGGTTTGTAGACAGATCCAGATAGTAGTTGCTCCTTGCACCTCTCTTGAAACTGATGGAATGAATGTGTATCTTCCTTAGCCTTGTTGATTACTGACTCTGTCCATTGATCGGTATATGGCTCTCCTGCAGTAGAGGCTGAAAGCTCTTCTGGAGGTCGCTTGTATTTGGGGCAGGTACCATATTTTGAGCACATCACCAGACACTGCTCTGGATAATTGGTCACATAGCAGGCTAGCACAGGGTATACTCTTTTTACTGCTCCATCTCCTCCTATCACCTCTATTCCATCCCTCCCAGCTTTTTTAATGGGTCCAAAATAATCTTCATTGACTCATGAAATAGTCTCTGCACTCTGGATGACTTTTTGTGAGGCAACATTGAACTATAACAAAAATGATACCCATCTCTGACTGCACTTGCAGGGAGTAAGAGGTACAATGAGCTTGAGGTCGACAGATGCTAGCAAATATAGCAAGTAGAGGACTTGGGGAGTAAACTCAAGGGTTTCTGGTGAGGAGTAAAGCTGGTAATCCAAGTAATAGAAAGCTAAAGAACTATACATGAATGTATAGGGTTATTATAGAGCTAACCATCTATCCCTCAGACCGAAAGTGTAACAACCAAGAGTTAGTTACTCCGGCGCACACAGGAACACACTATAGAGAAGATGAAGAGGGAGTGGTTACCCCTTGAAATGCAGAGAGTTAGTTGGTATACAACAGGGGAAGTGCCGTGTGGCACCATGTGTGAAAGTTAAAGTATAAGGTTAAAGCGGAGAAATAAAAGTAAAGGGAAGGTCCGAAAATTGTGTTATTGTAACAGAAAGAGGAATAAAAGAAAAGTGGTCTGAGGAAGAAATCAACCAATAAGAAAAAGAATAATTATTGTACAACTTTAAGGATTAATCAGCAGGTGAGAGAATGTACTAATAATAAGTATTGTCACACGTATTCAGGAACCGTATCCTCATGATGAGGTACAATCCTGACTAAAGTGTTTATTAATATCTCCAGGCACTGATGGGGCTTGGAGCGTGAGATATCTACCACCAGTCCTTACCCATTGTGCTGGCTGGCTGGGAGTACTACTCAGTCTCTGATCTGCAATATGAAGTGGTAACAATGGTTAAGAAAACCTGTGAGGGCTATGAGAAGCAAGATAGAAAAAGATACCATACCTCTAGCCCTAGAGCCAAAACATAGGACAAAAAGATAAGAAAATAAGAAAATATAAATGATCCTTACAGTTTTCTCTCAAAGTGAGTCACATGCCTATGATTTTGATTACAGACAAGTAGCTAATTACGATACAGGCATGCTGGCTTGGCCTCTATTGTATTGCATGTGGAATATTGCCCAAAGTTAGATACACAGAATAGGCAAATTTGGAATCTGAGAACTGCGTCAATTGTGTTTTGTCTGTAGCAATTATAACTGGTGAAGGAGCTGCTCCCTTAGGTAGATGTGCCTGCACACATAAGAGTCAACATTCAAATAAAATTAATATCCAGCATAATACTGACCTGGATTGCATGCCACCACTTTCCAGTCATTTTATTGTAAATTCTATTCTCTTTCTGTGCATTACTGAATATCTTCTTAGGTTTGTAGACAATGTGTTTTGCATGGGCTGGGTTGCCAAGGAGGCTAAAAATGGCAGAAAGGACATCACAGTATGAATGAATTAGATGCTTGTCATCAGGGGCATCTGGGAATGCAATGGTTTTTGACATCCAATCAGCTCTGGATGGAATAACAGAGTCAATTATCTTGTGTAGCCCTCTAATGTTGTGATAGGACAATCCCAGTCTCTCTTTAACCTGAAACAATGGCTTCTTTAAGGAGATCCAGGAAGTGAATAGAATAAAGACATACCCCTGGAATAGCTAACAAATGGTCAAATGATTTGTGACCTATTCCATCCTGGATTGCCCAACAGGTGACTTGCCAGTCTGTTTTCGATGCAAATAGAAAGAACCTAGTATCCTGTGGTCCAGAGGCAACTGGGAAATCATTGTCCATATCCACATCCCCATAGTCATCTACAGCCCCTTTTGCCCCTTCAAACTCTTTTCTCCATCTCTCATGCAAGATATGGTCCATACATATTATCTGACCTGCTGTAGGGTGGGAATTTCTACATGCTCATCATCATTATCATTCAGGGAAATGGCATTTGGATGATTAGAAGGACCCACTGCCTCCCCTGGCTCCAGATCCTCCTGTTCAGGTTGCCTGAGTGGGATGAATGCAAATAGATCTTCTTCAATATCTTCCACGGCATCTTCAATGGATTCCTCTTGGAATGGATGTGGAGGGCCATAGGGGTTATCTAAATTTTCTTCCACCAGCAATCCTTGCCTCTCCAAGTTGCCATCCTGCTGTGTTAGGATCTCTCTCAATTTACCCTTGCAGTACCAAGCACAGCTTCTTGCAGAGCCAAGGTGCATATTGAGGGCATGGGTGGAAGATTTGACGAAGGGTATCATACTGAGAAGAATCATTGGTAAGGAACAAAGGGAGTGACATAGGGTGATATGGCAAGATCAATAAGAAGGGTGATATCATCAAGCTAATCATCTGATTCTTGAGCATCTTCAAAGTCTTCCTCTGTTGGTTAACGACGCGATAATGCATCAGGACCACGATGACGATCAGCAGGTATGTGAATGAGCTTGAAATCAAAGAGAAGGATGCCCTGAATCCAGCAATTGATAGTGGCATTAGGCTGAAGATCTGGGTCATTGAGCATGCCTTTGATATACTTGGCATCCACCTCCACATGCAAGTGTTTTACTCCTACAATGTAAAGGCAAAAATGACAAAGTGCTCTGAACAAACCATACAATTCTAGCTTGGGTTGACTGTAATTTGCCTCTCTATCATTCATGGGAATAGAGCCTTAGCAAGCTAAACACTTCTTTCCATTTTCATCAAGCTGGGAGAGGATGAAACCAACAGCAATCTTGCTGGTATCAACTGAAAGAATGACTGGGTTGTGTGATGAATAATCTATAGGGTGAAGTGCTGGTGCAGAGGATACTGCATGCTTCAGAGCATCAAATGCTTCTTGTCTGCGTTCATCCCATTGAAATTCAGCTCCTTTGCAATATAATTCTGTCAGGGGGCGTGCAAGAGCAAAGTAATTGCCAATCCAAATGCGAACTGTGCCACATAGACCAAGAAAACTGCGAACATCTTTGAGAGTCTGGAAAATTGGCCATTTAAGAATCTTGTCAACCTTGGTACTGTCAGGGAGACGACCTTCTGGGCAGTATACTTGTCCGACAATCACAACTTGAGGACGACATAACTGAGTCTTCTTTCCAGAGAAAACAGAGAAAGTTCTGCCAGCATGACCAACTCTATGCATATTGCAATGAGCATCAATGGCATGTTCCCATATAAATCTACGAATGCCAGGGTTGCCAGGGATGGTCTCTGGGTTGCCATCTGCATCTTCATAATGAGAAGTAGGTCCTTTGATTGGGAGGTCATCAACAAAGTTATTGGCAATATGCAGAATTTTGTCTTGCAGGATGAAAGTCATACAATTCTGGAATTCTGGAACAGAATTGGTGAATCCCATATGCATAGAAGTAATCCTCAGAAGTCCTAGTGGCAATAGAAAAGAGTTAAGGTCACGACTGTCAGGGTACACTTTTTGAGCATCAAATCCCCAAAAGAGATCAAACACAGTATAGTATTGGGAACCAGCAAATGGCTCCACAAAGTTGTCAAGGGTGAAATAGTAGTTTGTATCCCTGATACTCACAAAATAAGAATAATGATTTATCCAAATATAAGTAGTGACAATGAGTAAAAAAATAATCTAAGTCCATGAAAGGTTAATATATAACACCTGTATAATATATTTTATAAGCTCTCATGGTGTAGTGCATAAATATGATGTTTGGCTATAGGTTGCTTAGTCACCCAAGAGCTGACTAGCAGGTTGAGAGTTCAAATCCTGTCTGTGTTAATTTTTTTTATCAGCCACACAACAATTTCCAACATCTATAAGAGCATTTATAGAGCTATATGAGTCTCTATAAATGGCAGAGGTTCTATAACAGGTTTGACCACTATAACAGCTTTATGAGTACTTATAGTGCTATAAAGCTCTATATAGCTACCCCTATATTTCCTGATGGTGTGGAGCAGTAGGCTGAGTGGGTAAGTTGCTGCTTCCTTGAGAGGATCAAGATGGTCTGGCTAACTGGTTCATGATAGTGGGAGGGCGAAGTATAAGTCTAGCATCAGTTTCAAGCTTGATAGCACGATAGTAGAGCAGAGGATAGTTAGGATCTTCAATTGTCAAGGAACCCAACTTCTTGATAAGGGTTTCTACTTCATATTTCTTGACAGCAGTGTGCTCTTCTTTGTCTAAGGAGTGAAGGGTTTTCTTCAACTTGGAAGGACTCAACAGCTTTCTCTCTTTCTCTGTCTCAGAGGTGCACTTTTTCTCTTTCTTCTGCTTGGTGGTTCTCCTGATATAACAAGGTGGTTCTTCCTCTTTGTCAGAGTCAGAAGAATTGTCTAAAGAACTGGAAGAGTTGTCTGATTCCAAGTCTGAATCCAAATTATCAGAGTCAAAATCTTCATCATCAAAGCGATCTCTGTGAAGGACATGCTCTACAGCTTTGACAACATCATCAAAAGCAAAAGGCTGGGAGAGATCAAGGGTAGGATCCCTCTGAAGGAGTCTGTTTTCAATGTGATAATGAAGGGTTTTAGATAGTCCTTTCCAGAAGAAGAAATTGAATATGTCCTGAGTGATCTTGGATTTGGCAAGAAGCCATCCACCAACGCAAACATACTTCCTCATGTAGCTCTTGAAATCATCCAGAGAGCCCATTTGCTTCTTGTGCAAAACATTGACCAGCTGTTTAAGATGATGCTCTTTAAATTTGGCCTCTGCCTTTGCACCATCAAAGTACTGGAGAATTTCATCTCTGAGACTGTTACATGAGGGTGTAATGAAGTGCTTTATTCCTTCAATGATTTTGCAAACATATGTGGAGCAGTATTGGAGAATGCTTGAGCATTTTTCATCATCAGCAGTGACATTGTTTGCATGACAGATACGCTCATATTGGAGAACAAAATCCCTGACACGAGTATAGTCTCCCTTGAACTTCTTAGGAGCATAACGAGTTCCGGGAATTGGCATAGTGATGACTGAGAGAGTAGTAGGTTGATTCATAGTGGAAAATATAGGGGGTAAACATGAAGCTTGCTGAGTAGAAGCTGGTACAGAAATTGAGTTACTGGAAGAGAGGGATGAGACAGATAAAGTGGTGGGTGAAATAGAAGGTGTAGATGATAAATTAGACAGTGATGGCAATGAAATGGTGGGAATTTAGCTTGAAGGAAACCACCCCTCACAGTGGGCTCCAATTGTTGATGATAAGAACTGTTGTTAGAAAACCACACACAAAAAAACAAACTAACAAACAATCCTCCCAGATTCTATGGAACATGTTTATTGGCTTTGCCTCCTAGAACAGTGGGTGCTCTGGTTGTTTGTGGGGTGGTATGTACAATGATCCTTCAAAGTCAAACCCAAGGATGTATGGGTGTGGGTTTTGAGGAGGAGGGATAGTTGAACTATGGAAGATAGGGGCTTTACAACGAGAATAGACGAGCACTATCTTGCTAATTGCAGCACAAGGTAGGTTTGAGAACGATGAGATGATGAGGTGATGAGGTTCCCAGTGATAGTAGGCTCCTGATGCACAAACTGTAGTGCTCAGAAGGACTCTAATCGAAAGGGATAACAATGACTTCAAAAGTGGCAAGTGACAATGACAGCAGTTAACAGTGGTAGCAGTGGGAAGTGTTGTGACCACAATGGATCACAAGTAGCAGAGTAGTGAGCTTGAGATTAGAGAAGAAGTCTGGATTGGAGTTCTTGTTGTTTTACAAGGTAAAATACAGGGGTTTATATAGTAAAAGAAAGGTAGGCTATGCACAGGATAGCTGTGCAAAAGGAATGAGAAAGAACATGAAGGAAGGAATGTATGCTGACAAATCCTGCGTAGGTAGTACAGGATAAGATCATCAAAATAAGGAAAAGAAAGGGATAGAACAATAAATACTGTGTAAGTAATGTCACAGGTTTGTACAGCCATAAAGTAAAGTCCAATAGCAAAAAGAGAGCAGGAAAATCATGATGTCATGGGAAGATGCAGTAAAAAAAGGATAAAGGAAAACAATATCAGTATTGACACAGTTCCTTTATTGTCAGTCAACAAGCATTCTAAAAAAAATATGTGTCCATAAAAATGATTCAAAAATCAAAAATAATTGCACTATAAATGAATGTTCTGCTGAAAAAAAGAAACTGGAGCCACCGGTCCACCACCTAGTCCAAATCTGATGGTTCCATGGCCTTACCAATGGTCTGGTTATATTGGACCACCTGATCAAACGAGGGAGGGAGGGGAGTGGTTCCAATTTAGAACAAGTGAGTCCCAGGCAGCATGTGGTAGGTGTAGCTATAGCAAAGACAATAGACAAAAGATAAGTGTACCCAAGTAAATGGGACAACAATGTACATAGGCGATGCAAGGAGATGAACCTTCTCCAGCTCAAAAACTACCCACCCACTCCAACCAGGCGAGACGAGTGACCAATGATTTGATAGTATATGATGGAAGATCGACATCATGAAGATGGACCGGCCGCTGGGGCTTTGCTGATATCAGCAGTGGCACATGGTGATCAATGGACTGGAGACAAAAGTGGATAGAGAGTGGTGACATCAGGTATGGTGGGGGAGCAAAGAAGATGAGGAGGAGGAGGGTGGAGGTGACGAGGAGGTGAACTAAAATGGGGATCCAGAAGCAACCATCAGGTGAGAATAAAAAAGAGAGTAAGGGTCCCATGGTAGGGCTGAGTAAAGAAAAAGTAAGGGAAAAACGATGAAAGCAAGGGCGCAATGTGTAGCCAGTAGCGACGCAAAAATTTGCCGAAATGCCGAAACACGGAAAGTACCAAATGGAAAAGCAAAGGTGAGCGCAACTTGATTGCCTAATAGAGGTGGTGCTGATCAGCCACAAGTTCTAACAAGGCAATATCAATTACTATTCCACATGGCACTGTGCCTGTGTGGCGCAAAAGCAAGTTTTTTTGAATATTTGCTTCATTTTTGACACCTGTCCATGCTACCAATCAATTTTGGTGCATGACAATGTCCAGGTCCTGGGTGGTTTTTTCATGTGGTTGGCAATAAGTCCAAGCTTTTGCAAAAAAAATGTGATCCCCAAATATGGCTGCAGAATGAAATGATCAAAGGTTTTGCTGGTGCAGCCGTCAAAATGGAGGATTTTGATCCAGGAGCATTTGAGATTGATGAGTTGGTTTGGCAACAGAATTTGGTTGAGCATAGGGGAGTCAGTGTGCCAGGTATCCTGGGAGATATAGAGACAGATCATCTGATCCAAGTTCAAAAACTGCCCGAGGCTTCTGGATATTTGCATTTTGTTATAGGTCAAATTACTAGGTTGCATTAGTAATTATTTCTTATTATTTGCCTGGACTGTTTATATTGTCTAGGTTTTCATCCCAATCATCTGATAGTTAATAAAACTAAGTGAAACTCAGCCACTGCCCGAGAGGCTATAGAAACGACTTTATTATTTACCTATGTGAAACTACAATAGATGTTAGTTTAAGGTGATCTCTAATAAATGTAATGTAACATACCTCAGCCACTGCCCAAGAGGCTATAGAAATGACTGAGGTATTCCTATACTAAACCCCCTACTACTTATAGTCGGAGGTGCTACTCGCTACAGTATACTAGGAGTACAATTGTGCTCCTAGGAGAACAATGGTTACTCCATGGAGTGGTGGCTATGCTCCATGGAGAACAATGGCTGCTTCGGCAGAGACCGGGTTTATCCGGTTTTGTCACTCCCACTCGAGTGCAACCGTAGTCCCATAGCTTTAGAGAATTTCCAGTGTTTTTCATGAGTGAGGGGTTTAGTGAGAATGTCTGCAACCATATCTCCTGTAGGAACATATCTGATTACTGCCTCTCCCTTTGATACTAAGTCATCTCGGATAAAATGATATTTCCGTTGAATGTGTTTTGTGCGAGCACGGAACTGTGGATCTCGTGTAAGAATGATAGCTGCTTGATTGTCACAGTGCAATGTTGTAGGTCCATTTTGAGCATGTCCAATTTCTTCAAAAAATATCCAAAGCCATGCAAGGTGTTGTCCAGCATTGCTCAATCCAATGTACTCTGACTCCGTGGAGGATAAAGCGACCATGCTTTGTCTTTTGCTTGTCCAGGAGATTGCTCCTCGGATGGTGATAAAGACAAACCCTGATGTTGATCGAGACGTGTCTGGGTCTCCAGACCAATCTGCTTCTGAATATCCATCGAAATCCATGTCCATGGAGACATCTGTGCCATCATATTGTACTTCCATGTCCCTGGTTGCTTTCAGATATCGGAGGACACATTTTGCAGCTTCCCAGTGATGGCTCCTTGGAGCTGAGCTATGCCTGCTTAGTATTCCAACAACGTGGGCAATGTCTGGGCGGGTTCCGAGCATGGCATACATGAGGGAGCCTACAATTGAGAGGTATGACACTTGACGCCCTTCAATATGCATCTCGTGTTGCACAATATCTTCCCCTGGAGCATTTGCAAGGAGTTTTGATCCATGGGCCATTGGTGTCCATACTGGTTTGCAGTTCTTCATTCCAGTACGCTCCAGGACTGTGTCAATGTATTGGCGTTGCAATAGGAATATTGTTTTGTTTGAACTATCACATTGGATTTCTATTCCGAGGATGTATTTTGCTTCCCCAAGGTCCCGCATTTTGAATATGGATTTGAGTTTGGCTTTTGTGATATCCATGAATTTTCGGGATGAAGCTCCTAGGAGGAGGTCATCTACATAGACAACAACAAAGCATATTTGTTTGTTGTCCTGGAATACATAGAGACATGTTTCTGCATTTAGTCTTGTGAAACCGAGCTCCTGGAGCTTGCGATCAAAAGTTTTGTTCCATGCACGACCAGCTTGTTTTAACCCGTAGATGGATTTCTTCAATCTCCAGCAGTATCCAGGTTGGATAGGAACACCCCCTGGAGGAAGCATGTACAGTTCTTCTTCAAGTTCTCCATTGAGATAAGCTGTGGATATGTCCATTTGATCAAGTTCTAGGTCGTACTTTGCTGCCAGGGCTAGAATAATTCGGATTGACTCTAAGTTTGCAACTGGAGCAAAAACCTCCTGGTAATCAATCCCCTCCCTTTGAGTAAAACCTTGTGCAACAATCCGGAGTTTGTATCTCTCAATGTTTCTGTTTTGATCAAACTTGATCCGGAACACAGGTTTTGATGTGATAGGTTTCACTCCCTTTGGAGGTGGGACAGTGTCATATACTGCATTGGTATTAAGACTTAGGAGTTTCTCCTTCAAGGCAGACTTCCATAATTCTCCATCCGGACGTGATAAGGCTTCCTTTAGTGTCCTTGGAAGGTCTGTATTAGGTGGACCAGTGCTTGCTATTCCAGCAAAGAATGTCTCCTCTGTATCAGATGTTTCTTCATGAACCTCAGGAGTGTTAGGTTTCTCCATGGAGTTGTCATGCTGCTCTTTTCAAGACTGTTCCTCATCTAGAGTCCTTTGATAATCTCGGTTTTTGTCTGCAGGACGGGTCTGGCGACTGCTTCTGCGTACTCCTAGGACTTCAGCAGGCATGACTGCTCTTTTAGGAACTTGTGCAGGTACTCCAGGGAGTAGACACATTTGTTTAGTTGTTGCCCCACTCACTCCTGAAGGTGTTGAATCACTCCTTGGAGGCGTTGGATGACTCCTTGGAGGTGTTGGATGCCTTCCAGAAGCTGATCCAATGGACAGGCTGTCTAGCTGTATTCGGACTTTTTCCACATCAGCTGGCTGTATGTTGAGGGGCTGTCCTCCCACTGACTGTAACTCTACTTTGGCTTTTCGTTCTGAAGATGGCCAGTGTTCAGGTCTTGGTTGTAGAGACTGTTGTGGAGGGTGTCTTAGCTGATCAGGTGCTCCCACTACTCTCGGAATGTCTCCACGGAGGTATTGCCCCACTGCTCTCGGAACATCTTCATGCTGATATGGTTCTATTGCTTGTGGAACATCTCCTTGGAGATGTGGTTCCATTTGCAATTCATTTGGATCTCGGATCTGAGGGTCAGGATCATTTCTCCTCCAATGTATTTTGGTCTGGATAGTGAGCATTCTCTGGAATGAGTCCCTCTCACTGATCTGTGCTAGTGTCTGTGTTCCAGGGAGCAGTGTTGTCCTTTTGTACCTTTCCGGATTCATTGAATATGACATGCCGACTGGAAAACACAGTTCATTTTTCAGTGTCTAGGAGTTTGTAGGCTTGCTTTCCATGTGTGTAGCCAATCATTATGGCTTTGCACCCCTTGGAGTAAAACTTCCCTTGCCTTTTGTCTTTTGGAATCAAGGCATATGCTTGGCATCCAAAAGGGCGAAACAAAGTTGGATCAACTCTCCTTTTAAACAGTATTTCATATGGGGTCTTTCCATGGAGTCCTGATGCTGGGCTGCGTGCTGTGATATATACAGCTGTTTGCATGGCATCTACCCAAAATGACTTTGGGAGCTTGGAATCATGGAGCATAGTGGTTGCTAATGTAGTCAATGTCTGATTCATGCGTTCTGCAATGCCATTTTGTTCCGGAGTATCTGCAGCTGTAGTTTCTTGGATGACACCATCTCCTCGGAGTTGATTTTTGAATGCATTGCCAGTATATTCTCCTCCCCCATCGCTCCGGAGGAATTCTGTGTATAGTGGAGTGAAGTTTTCTTCTCCCAAATGAGTCCAGAAGAATGTTTGGACATCTTCTTTCCATTGCTTATATCGTTCCAGTGCTTCACTTTTATGTTTTAGGAAATATATCCATGGAAATTTGGAGAAATCATCTACAATGATAATCCAGTACCGAAAACCCTCCCTGGAAGTTGGTTTGATTGGTCCTCCAACATCTGTGTGCACAATTTGTATGGGGCGCTTGGCTCGGTTTCCTCTAGTGGACTTGAAAGGTAATTTCTTCATCTTTCCTAAAGCACAAGGTTCACAAAAATCCGGGGTTCCAGTAAGGGTGTCTATGTCCTGGAGCTGTCTTTTTGTAACCATCTGTTGCAAGCGGTCCATTACAATGTGTCTCATTCTCCTGTGCAATAAATTTACATCTACTGCTGCAAAAGCTGACTCCGGGTTGATTTTGGGTTTTGCTTGGATGTGATAAAGTCCTCGCTTGTGTAACGCAGTGAGGATAAGTTCCTCCTTTTTCCGAACTTCACAAGCATTTGACCCTGCTGGAAAAAGTGTTGATAACCCCGTTTTGGACAATTTGTGGACAGAGACGAGTGCTAACATGAAGTTTGGCACAAGTAAGACATTTGACAGTGCAATATTGTAGTCTTTTTTGCCAACAGTTGCTTGTAGGATTACTGTTCCAATGCCAATGGCATTTACAGAGGATTCATCCCCAAAACTGATTGTCCTCGGAGGATGCAGAACATGGTATGTTCCTGGCTCAAACCAGGAGCGGTGAGGGACCATGTGGGATGTTGCTCCGGAGTCAATAATAATTGTTGTTTTGGTCTTATCGGGTTCCGACACAAGGTAAGCTTGAATGTGTTTAGCAAGTGGCTTGGAAATATGTACATGTTCCAATGCAATATGACTCTGTTCCTCCTCGAAGTCAGATCCAGATGATTGCTCCGCCGTATTTGCCTTTTCCTTCTTCCTTTGACCTTTTCCGGCTGACTGAAGTGTTTGACACTCCGAGGTGTTGTGTGTTTTGGCTTTGTGGAAGTCACACCACTTCTCCTCCGATTTGAGTGCTGATTTGGAACCTCCAGGGGCCTGTCCTGACTGTTGTGCAACTTCTGCAGTGATCCGGATCTCAACTGCATCAAAGGTAAGTTTATTTTCTTCAATCGTGTTGATTACCGATGACTGAAATATTTGCCATTCAGGAGTGCATGGGAGAGATTGGAGAAGAGCGAAGGCCATGAGTTTGGTATCAACTCCTAGTTTCATTCCAGAGAGGTGTGAATCAATTGTCCGGATTTTTGCAATGTGGTCCTGGATAGGTGATGTCCCATCAACAATTTGGTGAGTTGCTGGAATGAATAGAAGGCCGAGGCGATGTTGGACGTCTGATGGAGTGAGACAAGTTTATCAAATAACTCCTTGGAGCTGGTGAGGTCTCCAGTCCTCATTAGGAGGGCATCAGAGATGTGGTCCTGGATGATTCCATGTGCCTTCTCATCCTTAAGTATCCAGGTGATCTCAGGATCCTCCGAGGAGGTAGGTTTTCCTGGTGAGGGCTTAAGCTCCTCTCCAGTAACAACCCGGAGAACTTTTTCCCGACGTAGCTTTGAGATGATCCGGAGTTTCCATATTTGAAAATTGTTGGGTCCAGTGAGAACTGGACATGCGGATGTATCGCGTGCTGTGGTCATGGTTCCGAGGTTGCCGTTTCAAATAAGAATTATTTCCTGTGTAGCTTTTGCGCACCAGGGCTCATAACCTAATAAACCTAAGTGAAACTCAGCCGCTGCCCGAGAGGCTATAGAAACGACTTTATTATTTACCTAAGTGAAACTACAATAGATGTTAGTTTAAGGTGATCTCTAATAAATGTAATGTAACATACCTCAGCCGCTGCCCGAGAGGCTATAGAAACGACTGAGGTATTCCTATACTAAACCCCCTACTACTTATAGTCGGAGGTGCTACTCGCTACAGTATAATGACTCCTAGGAGTACAATTGTGCTCCTAGGAGAACAATGGTTACTCCATGGAGTGGTGGCTATGCTCCATGGAGAACAATGGCTGCTTTGGCAGAGACCAGGTTTATCCGGTTTTGTCATATCTCAATGAGATATATTAACTACGACTTACTGTAAAGTAATACATAGAGCTACCAAATGAATGTGCATATAACAGAGATATGAGATCAAAGAAACACAAACATCAGTGCTAGTAGTCCGTGGAATTGAGTTCTGTCGACGAGCATTTATTGCCAGGGGTCATCCAACATCATCCGTGTCACCAACTCGATACCCTCCTTTCTGTACGTGTCTTGTGTAATGTTGGCCGGAATTGAGCCATCTAGGAAAGTCAAGAGGTTGGGTGTCTCGTTCTTGTATTGAGGCCAGTTAATCCCTGTGTTTCCACTAGGATCAAGGTTTGCCACGAAACGGATTAAATAGTCTGTCATATCAGCAGAACCATAGATGATGTCTATGTCTGAACCATGGAACTACATCGAGATTATCAGTTTAGAATCTCGAGGGAGGTTAGAGCATCCTCTTACAGCGCCAAACCCGGGAGTATCCTTCATCCGTTTGCTGACTGATTACCAATCCTTAGCCAACAAACTTGGGGTCAATTATGTCAAGACTCACGGAAAGACCAGATCTTTCGGTGGCCAGAACGTGCCTGCAAGAGGAACCGGCGAGGGCCTTGGAAATTGATATCACCAAGGAAGGCGGCTACACGCTTGAACTGCGGCGTCACCGTGTTGTTGTTGCCAGTATTAAAAGGGGAGCCGTCCGCAGGAGTGACAGGATACAGCTCCATTACTTTGTCCAAGGTCGAGTTAGATACATGAGGTGACCAATAAGTTGTAATGTAGACTCGGAGTTCCTGCTCAGTTCTGTGAGAGTAGAATGAGCCATCTGTCAGGCTCGTATGGGGAGACCCGCAACCTACGTAATATTAAGAGAGGCGTACGAGAAAGGAGTGGCCTCATCGTCACAGTCTCCTGTAGATTTTGTGAGACAACGTATGCATATTAAATTGATGCTCGCACCATTTACAAAAGATACATTCGCCACAGAACCCTCTTTGATCAGAGTTTGAGGGTTGTCAACAAGGAAAACGCCGTCAGGACGAGGCATCCAGGGCAAGATGGGAGCCTAATGCACATAACGATATCAGTTCTACAATCCAGCATCCAGCGGTACCATAAGCAACAACATACCTGGTAATCATAAAAGGTAGGAACATTATCAATCGCGCTCTTGAGAGTGCCGTAAGGTGCTTCTCGGAGGCATTGCAGAGTGTCAGACGAATTTGAGCAACCTGTGTCCTTGACCATGGTATCGTAGTATGGCTGGCCACCTTTCATGCCGCTGACGGGGAGTTGAGAGCCAGAGTTCATGTACGCACCGCGGAATAGTCCTTCATTGTCGCCTCCATTTGTGATCATGTGGTATACAATAGAAGTAGAACCTGCGCTTTGGCCCCAGCTAAACATAAACTCTGTCTTAATAATTGTTCTGTCGACTATGATGGAAACGAGGGACTCACATCGTAACTTTACTAGGGTCACCACCGAATGAGCTGATGTATTGCTGTACCCATCTCAGGGCCTGACGTTCTAAGTAGACCGATGTGGAGACCGAAATTTGCTACACCTGCATCCATGACTTCTTTCCCAGCCAAAAAGCCAAATCCTAAACAAGTTGATCGTTTTGCGACTTTCTGATAGATTTAACACATTGCTTACCATTCAATCTGCAGTTCACAGTAAGATAGGTGCTAAAGGCTGCTGCCACAACCTGTAAGACTCACCGGTAGTTTAAGCTGACATAGATGACAGGCTCATTAAGTGCAAGAGACCTGTTGACAATAACGTCTCCCGGGTATCTGAAAGTACCATAAGCTCAAAGCAATAATAAGAGCGAGTGTATGAAAAGCTAACGTGGATGCACCGCCGACCGCGAAACCACCTGAGGAGATAACACTTCAATTGACTGACTGAAATAGTTGCTATCATCTCTTACCTCCAAAGAACCACTAAATATTGAGCACCACATTAGTAACAAAACACCGAAGCTGCCAGGGGTTTAATACGCACCACAACTACAGGTAATTTTGAGTTTGTAGTGGCACTGGCTGGCGTGTAAACATTTATCGTAAGACCTGTACAAGAAATATATTCAGCTTTTGAACGCCATCAGTCTCAGTATAGAATAACACACAATCCTCGCTCTGTGCGCCGCCGTCTGCAGCTAGAGCGGTGAGAATAGCTTCCGTTTCAGCAGTTAAATTCCCAGGGACTGTGACCGTCTGTTGTGGACAACTAGGTCCGTAGGCTGAAGCGTTATAAGTACCGTTGTAGGGCGAGATGGCTTGAGGAAGATGGAAGCGGAGATCGCCAACACTACGTTATTTAGTTCATGAAGTTGGCGAGAAAATAGAGCTGCTCACGGAGGTTGCACGTAAGGTATACCCAAGAACGCCGAAACGCTCCCGTTAGTGGTGCCAGTAAAGATGGCATCATCCAAAGTCACGGATGGTGGAGAACTTTGTGGCACAGGAGTACCCGCGACCATCCCACAAAGAATGGCGGCAGATAAGACGCTCCGAAACACCATCTGCGCTGAAGATAGTATAGAAAGATGCGCGAGCTAGTTTTGTGATGGCTTAAACACAGAGATTAAGAATAAAAGGGATCGAACTTGAAAGAAATAGTTGGATAGGTAAAAGTTGTACAACGAATTTCCCAAAAGTTTTGTTATCTGGGCTTTATACCTCTGTTATCACAAGTTCATCCGGGTTATGACTCAAATTTGTTTCTGATGGAGCATGTTGGCTGTGGCAAATCGTCAAATGAATCTCCCCAGTCAGACAAAATTACTGCGTCGATATCTAAAAATATAGTCAGTCAGATTACACTGGAGTAAGCTTACCAGTTACTATAGACCAGTTTGACCCGAGCTTCATCCGAATGCGGCAAGCACATGTTTTCCGGCGGCACGGAACGCGGAAAACACAGCGCTGACACTGCCTTGATGCCATATATGGGGTTTTATGTCGATCCTTGGGCAGTTCGACGTTCCCGAAACATGGACGATTGTTAATTGCTGATCCCAAAATACAGGTGAGTCTCTTATGACGATGATTTTATGTGAAATTATAGAAGCATTGTCTGATATGAGTTCTCCATGAGCTATGTGGCGCTTGCTGAATGATACCGACAGGGTAGCATACTACGCCCTTCCAGTCACCTATGCAAGTTGTGAATGTCAGCGAAGACATTCTCCAAATGCAATGTAAGCTCCGAGGCGTAGCTTTTATATTCTAACCTTTCTTGTCGTCGTGTTCAATCGTAGCGATCTTGTTATGTCCTCATATTCGAGCAATGGAGTTTCCGCTCACATTTCAAGTTTGCCTGCAGAATTTTCAAGTTCAACTTAAGGATGAAGTTATGGATATTATGAGCAAGATATACAAAGGTTGGTCTCCTAGCAGACTAAAGTAAAATAACAAGGGAACTGATACAATAACATGAATAGAAGAAAACACGAACTGGGACGAGACGAAATGCAGCTATGGATATCGAGCCGTCAACTTAATCCGCGAGGTCCTGTCACATATTTTCCAATGCAATCAAGGCTAGTCAACCCATTTGGGTTCGACCTTCAACTTAGCCTTAGGCCAATATTTGCCATCTTTCAGCCCTTCTGCCTCCATGCGAATCTTGACAGTTCTATGGAACTTGACTCCATCCTTCTTTTGTCTCGGGATGTGCCGTCCAGCACCCATGTTTATTCTAAAAACATGGACAAATCGTCAGAAGACCCATAATGAAGGCGATATCTTGAAAATAAAAATACACACTGATACTCCTGTGTCCAAGAATTATCGTTGTCCTTCTGGTAGTGATTTTTCTGTGGAAGGACTTCAAGTATCCACCACCCCTTCAGGAGTACCAGTTGGTCGTAATGCGGACTCAGCGCATCTGCTAGGTCTTCGTCCTCTTCGTTCACGAACTCCCCACCATCACTGTAGGTTACCATCGTACGATCGTCCGTCACCACCCAAGGTACCTTGAGCGGGGGAGAGCGGCAAGCAGGACTCTGATATAATGGAGGCGGTCGTGGAAGGACCTCTGGGTAAAGTCTATCGGGGTCAAGCCCGACTTTGGGGAATATAGACTTGTGGAAGAGAATGCCAGTTTTGGCCAAGAAACACTGGCGAAGCATCCAACGAAGAGGGATACGTGCAAGACTGTAACGTGTACCATTGACGACTGATCCACCTCCGACATCTATGATTAAAGCGAACATGAGTCAATTAAGCTATATCAAGCGACGCATATACGTGCCAGTATGACATCCCGAAAACCACACCTCCTCGACGTCGGTAGTCGTATCAGTGTCCTCAGAATATCGGCGTTCAAGGTCATGTAGGTTGGCCTTGTGATGGACTTTCTTACTGCGTGGCATCTCATGACGCTTGACGCCTAGCTCTTTATCCTTTTCCGTTGGATGGCTCCATGTGTTCGGATTGAAGCGACTGGAAAGGTGATGCAAATTGAACAGAAGGTAAAAATGAGAAAGAGAACGTGTATCCACTCACGCGCGATGCTCGTCCAGTGATATTGCATGTCGGAAGTACTTGATATTGTCGCTCACTTTCGTAAACGGCAAACGGCGAGGTATTAGTCCTACAGCACTGACAGTATCCCTGAAAGTATGATATTTCTCAATCAACTTGAGAATTATGTATAAATCACAACCAAACGTACCACACACCAACGAATTCGATTTCAACATTGATCGAGAAGGCACGCTTGAACGCTGTGCTTTGTTTCCAGCCAGTTTCGTCATCACGCGAATACATATTGTATGCAAAAGGAACTTGTTGATGATTGCACACAGGAAGAAGTCCGACCTGAGCAGCACGACCATCAGTTTTAGTGAGTTGATATAAGGCTTATAATGCTTGAATCCTAACATACCTTGTGAATCCTAGAATGAAAATAGGTCAATAGATATTCGTAATCTTGATCGTTGGTCACTCACATTCCAGCCAGAGCACGAGCGGTGTATGCCCCCCGAGAAAAGCCAAAGATACAGATCTTGTCACCAGCTTGATCTGATAATACTTTCAGTACACCCGTCTACAAGTAGAAGTCATGAGAAATTTGGCATACAATTCTGCATCAAAAACTCGTATCCGCCTGTGTAGCGCATCGTGAGCTTTGTTTAAAATGGAAAGGAAATAAATATATAGCTTACCCATAACATGGGCATTGAGATGAACTCCAACCATCATATCCCAAGTTTTTGATAAACCGGCCATGAAAGGAGTTGCGATCTCCGGTATAGTGTATGTCCCAATACCGGCCTAATGGGCATTGGTTTAAGGTGAGTCTTTGAAACGGGCTTGGATTGATAACCAAAAAAAATCAAGTGTACCTGATAGTAAACCATCTGTTGACTCATATCATCTTTCTTCAGCATCGAAAAGAACTGGATGATGTTGGAGTTCTACATATATGAGATCAGCTATATATCCCTAACACATGGAGAAATTTGAGACGCACATCAGCATCGAACTGATCTCCGGTTCCATCGAAACATAGAACAAGAGTACGATGTTCGTGAGTTTCTGGAATAATATCGTCCATATGATATTTGTCCGACCCTGCTGGCGACGCCTGAAAATCCTTGTTGGATGCAGGAGGTGAACTAGTGTTCGGAAAATCTTGGTAGTCGCCGTCGATAACGACAGGGTCAAGCAAAGGTCGTGTCGAATTGGCGGATGATTGTGTAGCCATGGCGGAACTGCTACCTTGTGACAGGAAGGACAAGGGAGACGCTGACTGACGGTCTGGTATTTGTTTATATACTTGCAATTGATCCTTAGACGCTATATCTTGGCTTTCATAAGAAGCCTCGGATCCGAACAATCACCCGATGTCGGTGTAAATTGCAAAGAACGTTTGATCTTCTGGCCGCTTCCCTATCGCTGAGCTCATGACAAGCCCCACAGTAACAGCATGCACTAGGCCAGCACCGTATTCAACACGTCGTTACACTGAGTCCTTTCATTCCTTGGAGGCAAAAAACGACAATCATTTGCGCCCAGCGGAAGTTTTTTTTTTATCATGATCATTAAGGCGTTAATTGCTTCCGCATCACTCCGAGATGTCAGACGGAAGAAATCAGCTGCGACGAGAGTTCCAAACATCGCAAACCTGCTGACTGAGGCGCTTTCGTGCACTCCCAGGCAAGCAAGACTTGAGCTAATCTAGCACTCTTCGAATTAGATTTATGTACAAGGCGTCACGGTTATCACGAAGCCGCTTTCTGTAGTCCTCGAATGGATTTATTTGGATACTTCGTCCGCGCTGTTCCCATTGATTAAGCTTGCTTACCATATGAGTCGGTCGCTGGACTCGCCGTTAGGCCAGATACTGAAGCTGTGCACAAAATTAACGTTGCAAATACCGGTCCTCCGCAAATTTAAGTGAGACGGAGTAACGGAAGTAACTCGTCGGTACTTGGGTTAGGGTTGCGCACAAACAGCTGCAAAGAACGCGCTTTTGACAAACGCACCGCGTTATCCAACTTCGAACCGCCATCGTACATCGCACGCATATAACGAGAATACCGAACCGGAAAAGCAATGCATCCCACAACAGGTCTGGCAGATCCAGACAACACACACGTACAATCCGAACAGGAACCGACTATGGGTGGACACCAATCTGAGGATAACAAGATTAATCAGTCTGAACGGGTAATAGAAGCCCAAGCACATGTGGAAACGTCCCAAACGTCATATTTCCCGGGAACATCAAAGAAAGCGTCAATAGTTATACAAGATGAATGTCTTCAGCATCGTTTCATCCGTTCACGAGACTCATCAAGTATCGTCGAACGGCCAGAGCGCATACGGGCTGTCAAAGTTGGTGTAGCCGCAGCCATAGCCCGTCTTGAGGAAATACAAGACACACATGGCGGTATTAGTCCTACTCCTGCGAAAGTCACCCAGGCTACATCAGATCCTGACGATCTGATAGCTGCACTTGGTCGTATGAACCTTGCTGCAGACCCTGCCCAACCTCGTATACCGTCCCTATCTATTCTAAAAAGTCACGCTACAGTAAATCTGCTAGACGACCCGGCGACAAAATTTATTCACGGCGATGTTGATGGAGACGTTTATTTGCAAAACTTGAAGAATTGGGCTAAGGAAAGCCAAGATAATATCTTAAAGAACGGGTCTGAAATTCCCTCAAATTTACCTCAACTTGACTTGTATTGTATGCTTCCATGTTAAACGTCAAGGTTGGACGCTATTGAAGCTCGAATTGTACAGTATCTCCTGGTTCCATTGATGCTATTCAAGGCGCTGTGGGAGCCGTCTGCGAAGCTGTTGACACCGTTATAAATTCCACTCGCCAGCATATAGACGTCAAAGATCACGCCCATCGCGTTTTCGTGGCCATCAGGCCTCCAGGACACCACTGTGGTGAAGATACACCTTGTGGCTTTTGTTTCGTCAACAATGTTGCTGTCGGTGCTGCACATGGTACAATTGATTTTTAGTACTGAAGTTCATTTCTAATCGATTTACTCAGCACATTTGAAGCATGGCATTCGGCGTATCCTCATATTTGACATAGATTTACATCATGGTGAATTATTTGTCACCCAGATCGACTATTAGTTTCTTACTTGCATCGCCACAATAGGAAATGGCACTCAATCTATTATCTGGCAGATCAATGAAGAAACATATCGACAAACACTAGAGTCTGAATATGCTCCATCAGACACATCGCCTAAAACTGGTCCTCAGATTTATTATGGTTCAATCCATGACATCTTGTCATTTCCTTGTGAAGTAGGTTTCCTGGCTTCTTCCTAGTCTCTCCTTTAAAACCCATGACTATCGTAAGGACGGGAATATGCAATGTGTACAAGCCGCATCGACATGTCTACATGGTCCTCATGGACAACATATCGAGAATATCCATATACAGGCTTATGAGTCGAATGATCAGTTTTGGGAGTTATATCGAACCCAATACACCAAAATATTCACTAGGGCTGAAGAATTCCTTGACAAGACTGGCGGACCCGGTGATGACGTCCTTGTTCTCCTAAGGTGCAGTATTTTGTGAGATTTCTGACTATTACACGCTGACCTGGTTGTCATTCGATTAGCTCTGGATTCGATGCATGTGAACATGAGGGCGGATCTATGTCAAGACACAAACGAAATGTGCCTGCCTCTTTTTACTACCGCTTTACCCGTGACGCGTGTGCTTTCGCCGACCGCTATGCTCAAGGCAGGATTGTTAGCGTTCTAGAGGGTGGGTACAGTGACCGTGCCTTGATAAGTGGTGCGATGGCCCATATGTGTGGATTGGTCGACATACAAACTCCAGGAGCTGTAGTTGACGAGGAGTGGTGGAGTGCAGAGAATTTGGACAAGGTAATGCCTATCTTTCTTCTTTGGTATGGAACCATCACGTCATCATTTCTGACACACTGCTTGCAGCTGGAAAAAGCGACGAAGAAACGAAAAGGGGGCCGACAATCAGCGGCGAATTCTCCAGAGCCATGGCTGGATCGTGCCCTATCGGTCTTTACAACTCTAGAAGCCGGTGCTTCTCAAAACATGACGCCGTCGTCTTCCCGAAACACTTTCATTCCTCCTACATCTATGACATTACGGGACAGAAGAAAACCTTCATCTAAACTCGCAGAAACTCAGTCTAGCGCTACTTCAAGCTCAGGTTCACCAACGTTGCCCCAATCTAAGCGCGGAGACAAAGATGGAAGCGAGAAGACAAATAATTTGCAACTGCCACCATCAACTTCATCATCTTCGTCCGACATCACGGACAGTTCAAGTGACGTAGCCCCTAACTCCACAGGGCTTCCAATCTCCGCTGTTGAAGAAGTCATAGTTCCGGCGAAGAAGCTTCCAAGAGTTATCTTGAAGGTCGGCCCTCCCCCTTCTATGTCATAGATCCGACATCAAGCAGTCTTTGAACAATAGCTATTTATTTATGGGGGGATGCTATATAATATACCCGAATGCCTGCTATACCAAGTACAGTACTGTGTTTCGCTCTATATGTGTTCTTGTACCAAGGCTTCATGTCGCGTCCGCCTCCACGTATGCGCGATACACGCGTAACTCATCTTCCACGGCTGAGAACTTCACGTCTGTTCCTTGTCCAATGAAAATGACATGACCCTTCGACACTTCCATCTTCTCACTTCCCCATTCTATCGTCCCTCCGCCCTCAAGGACTATAGCTATAGAAGGGCCACCAAGCCCAGGATGGGACTCAGCCTCACCCTTAGGAACGATCACTTGCATAACTGCAAGCTCGTCTATGGGCGGATCGTATATAGTCGTGGCCTTACCTGTCAGGCCTTCACGGGTCAACGGTGAAGACGGAAGGAAGCGCGTTTCTGCAGGCGCTGCAGAATAGAGAAGGCCACTCATAAAATTGGGAACATCTTTCTGTCCGGAAGTGAAGCCCGCTTCAAGCACGTTGTCAGAATTTGCCATACATTCGATGATATCTGTGCGATAAGAAGAGGTTAATGTCAACTTGTGATTGGGTAGCATATATATATATATATATATATATTGGGTACGTACCTCCTGCTACGTAAGCGTGAGGCTCCCCTGCAGCTAGGAAGATCGCCTGGCCAGGATCTAACTCGACATAGTTGAGCATAAAGGCACAAAACACGCCACTGTCTTCCGGATATTGTTTGTTGAGGGAGATGATCAAGGACCTGATATCCTTTTCCTCGTCTCTGTCTGGTCCAGCGTCATACCGCTTTACCAAGTTTCTGAGCTGCATCTTGACCTCCTTGACATCTGCTGTTAAGAATGAACCAAATAAATCTCTGAGGGCTTCCTTTCCCTCTGATTCTGAAGGAGAGGACCTGGCCACGGAAATAAATTGATTAATGATGACAGGAGGAAGGAGAGCAGCAAATTCTGGAGTAGAAGAGAGATAGATTGCGATCTTCTCGAGTGGTAAAAAACCGAAGAGTGCCTTGAAAGGCGTTAGTGCAATAGCTATCTCTGGCTTATGATTCGTATCTAATGATGCGGTTAGTCATGAGAGGGACTGTATTCTGGAACAAGCGAGCACCTGAATAAACGTCTGGCTGTTCTGAGTGTAGTCTCTCTGCCGTATGTTTATCTGGGTGGAGCTGCAATGGCAAAGCTTTTCGGAACGAAAGGACCTTGAACAAGAAAGGGAGCTGGCCGTCTGTGATATTGAACTTGTTGGAGACACGATCACCGATTAGGTGAGGGTAAGCTGCTAGGTGTTCTGAAAGCTTATGGCCGGAAGATAGGACTCGAGCGGGAGCTTTGTGGTGGGTGCCCATCCAAAGCTGTTCCACGCGTTTTCGTCAGTTCAACAAACAATATCAATGAAAGAGGTAGATGATTGTACGCACCTCTGCATAGGATGTCTGGTCATGGATTTTGAAGCCAGGTATGCCGGACCTAGACGCCAGTTGCGCCACTGTGGACGTCTGTCCCAAGTTCCCCCACTCGTATGACTGCGTCGCTGGTATGATGCGAAACACAGGAGGGGAAGAGTAATTCATGATAGAATATAGTTACTGTGCGTGAAAAGCTAGCAAGACTCCAGGTCTGAGTTGAGACTTTATATGTGTTCTCCTTCAAGCCGGTTCAAGTTATGCCTGTTAGTTTGACCTGGAATCGATCGTGAAAGCCAATTTTTGCAACTGCGATGACGATCGTGTGTAATCATATCTGCCATATTTCACTCCAACATCTGCCCCATATGCTCCCATATGTTGAGGTCATAATACGACCGCGACAGATACGGTTTGGGACTGTCGAGTGTTCATTTGCTTCTTCCACTTTTCGGAAGTCCTCCCCGATGTGATGATATTTTGCTGCGGTGAGATAAATAACGCAGACGTGCTTTGCATACTTGTGTAGTTTCAAAAGTAAAGCCTACCAGGTGAGTGGATATCGTTACAACGTGCCAATACAAGTTATGTCAGCATTTCCACGTGACTAAAATTCTTGATTTCTGCTTTCAGTTTGTGCGACTTGCAAGAATTGCATTCCACCATGAAACATCTGGCGACGGTAACGAGAGTTGTGTCGCGCTTTCCACGTTCGCCGTGCATTTCTCAGTCGCGAATGCTTGGAACACTCCCCTCTGCAACGGATAAATCTACAATGGTAGACACGACTGGCACCCTCGAATCATTTATTCCCGGTGCGTTCGAAGCAGTTGCAGCGTCAAAGCCAAAAACACCGGCACCAGCACCTATTCCAAGTTCAACGCCGGTTCAGATGGACATACCTCCACCTGAAGATCCTCTTCTTCAGTACCTCACTTCAGCGCTGCTGCACCACGGACACCGCGCAAAAGCAGCCCGCATGACGTCCCTCACTCTCTTACACATCCATGCTTTCACCCGTGCTCCCCCATTGCCCATCCTACGAGAAGCCATAATGGCTGCTGCCCCGGCTGTGCGCTGTATGTCGCATAAACATGGGTCAAAGAATGTGGCTAAGCCTATTGCACTCGGAGAGAAGCAGCGAGTCAGGACGGCGGTGCAAATGATCATTAAGGCAAGCGAGAAAAAGAACGGAAAGACAATTGCGGAGAGGCTGGCCAGGGAGATGATTGCAGTGGTGCAAGGCGATAGTAGGGCGCTTGAGGAGAGGGAAACTATACATCGGTTTGCAATGGTTAACAGGTGCGTACTTTGTTCCTTCCACCTACATTCGTAACTAATGTTATTTGAACTAGGGGAAATACACTCTTGCGCTGAGATATATGTGGTTTACATCGTTGGCAGCAACTTGAAGGCCACTCCGTGTGGCACGGATGGTTTCTGTTGTCCTACAGCATTCTTGTCATAGCTTCATTGTCCACCGCCATATGCTGTCAGCTCGCAGGCAGTGTACTCAAAGGAATACAAGTACTTGCGATGACCGTCTAATTTGTATCTTACTATGCGCTCTACTGCATCAATGAGGAAGTCAGTTTGTTTAGTGGAAACTGCATGTTTTACCGCATTTTGCTGTCCCTACTCAGAACAGTCGGTCGAACTGCTGGGAACGCAGCTATTTTTTTTTTCAAAGGAGGGGCTCATTCGGGAAAGCAGTAGCTGTCAGTGTAGATCTTACATAATCCAATTAAGAAACGCTCAAATTTTGGGAAAAACCTGACGCCAGCCTTTTAAACTCCCATCGTTTACCAACGGACATCCGTCAGAGTCCTCCCGACCCCCAGCCTTTCCTTTCTGCCACATAGAAACGCGCAAAGTCTGAGGAAATTTGCTATAAAGGCCTGCATCAAAGACCTTTACACGCACACTGTTTCCACCTTCATCCCAAATCTACGACATTCAACGAAGCAAAGGCTTTGAGCACCACTTCAACGTTAACAGGATAGTAAATTCCAGCCTTTTAGTTTAGAACTCCAGAAGACTCGAAGCAATATGTCACCACCAATGTCAGGGAAGGGCAAGGACTCGGGAACAGCACGTGTGCTTGGTTCTGGGGCTTCAGGTCAGTACAGTGCTTTGGCCTGCCTCGTTCTTCCAAGTACATCAGACCTAATCGTTGACTGTGCTGATACAGGTGTCGCCGAGTTGCTCGTCTTTCATCCCGTAGACACAGTCGCAAAGCGACTGATGAGTAACAAGGGCAAGGTATGGTGTCATTTATTCTCTGGTATATATAATCACATTCAATATTTACTGTCCCAAGGTTTCCGTCTCTACACTTGGCCAAATCATTTTCCGAGACCAGGCAACAGCACCATTGGGACGCAGGTTTCTCTCACTTTTCCCCGGGCTCGGCTACGCTGCCGGTTACAAAGTCGCGCAACGAATATACAAATTCGGTGGACAACCATGGTTTAGCGATCTCCTCGGACAACACTATAAATCTCAGTTTACGAATACGTTTGGTGAACGAAAAGGGAAGATGATGATGCAAGCGACCGCAGGCAGGTAAGCGCTCACGTAGATGCAGCTTGCTGCAAAATTCCATTCCGAGACTAATAGATTTCCTGTCTTTTGTATCTGAACCATGCAGTTTGACTGGCATTGGCGAGGTTGTACTGCTCCCTCTTGACGCGCTCAAGATTAAAAGACAAGTAAACCCTGAAGCGTTCCGTGGGCGCGGTGTTATGCGGATATTTATGGAAGAAGGTACTACCCTCTATCGTGGTTGGGGATGGACTATGGCACGGAATGCGCCTGGAAGCTTTGCTGTGAGTTCTACTTGTTTTCAAAAAATTATCAGAGACTAACCGTAGAGCACCTTTGATAGCTTTTCGGTGCTTCTGCATTCACAAAGGATTATGTCCTTGGCGTCTCCGACTACTCTCAGGCAACATGGACGCAAAACTTCATTGCCTCTGTTGCTGGTGCTGTCGCGTCTATCACAATCGCAGCTCCTCTTGACACAGTCAAGACACGCATCCAGAACGCCAACTTTGAGCAGAAGGTTCCAGGTACTAAGGTTATTAAGGACTTGTTGAGGAACGAAGGTCCCACCGCTTTCTTTAAGGGACTGACTCCCAAGGTAACTGTGGTAGTTATTATACGTCCCCTCAGTTACTCACGATTTTCGGTGGTATCTTAACAGATCCTCGTTGTTGGGCCTAAATTGGTGTTCAGCTATACCCTGGCGCAATCACTGATCCCACTATTTGGAAAATACGTATAAACTTGACTGATATTATCAGGAGAATCTATGGTTAATTGGTCTGGGTTTTTCATTTGCTGGAATATATGGATGACGAATGCTGGAGCTCAGGTCGTTCTGGCTACTTATATAGACTTGGATAGATATTATATTTCAAAAGCAACTCACACTTGTAGCTACGCACTATCATATAGCCATGTTTGTTTATCTAACATGCACGTCATGACACTTGGGGCTGCATTTTTGGGCATATCACTCGTAATTCGTATATATCACATTGGCCGCCAAAAGCTGTACTAACCTGCAGGATGAGAAATCTTCAGTCTCCACTCGTGCCAACTACGGCCAGTCAAAATATGACACATTTCACATCACGGTCATTCATCGCACCCGCTGTATCAGCTATACCATACAAGGAGGGGGTTATCAGCAATACCAACACCCTGAAACTGTTATCGTTATACCTACTATTTTCTTAGGGATCTTAGGGATCTATCTGGGGAGCCGGATTACTGCTCCCAGTGTTGTGTGCTTTGAGCGTACCTCGTGTGGCCAAGAGTCGCAGCTATATGCTATTGACCAGCCTCCGAGTCTGCCTTTTGATGAAAATTCCAAGAATCAGAGACGATATCGAACTAATGTTGGTTTTCCCTGTATTGTTTATACTATAAAAAGACTTCGAAGAGTGGATACACTTATGAGTCGTTTGTCTCCATCAATATGTGCCCTTTTACATAGTTGAATAAATGTGCTCACGAATGCATTGTTGTAGATGTCTCGGGTGCGGAAGATCTTCCGTTGTGAACGACAATATTATTAGTAGCAATAGAGAAATACATTGGTTTCTACCTCAAGCTCCCTGGGGTGAGCGTCTATCGATGGGACCCACGTCCCAAAACTGCAGAGCTCCCGAGATCAGCTCAAGTGACCAATAACGCACCGCCTTCAATAATGAAACATAGCGCATTGGTGGAAGAATGACTTGATGTGAACAAGGTACAAAAGCCGCACCTCAATAGGTCCTTGAAAATACAGTTGCATCGTAAATTTTGATGTAGGTCAAGTGCGTGAATGTGTCGTAATTAAATTTGGCATCTTTGTACATATCTTCAAGCAGTTTCACGTATACTCCGTTTCTCATCGTGAACAGAGTCAACGGGTGAATTTGCTACTTCCTCCGCCTCTTCGTCCCTTCCTCCTCCTTCCTCGAAGGCTGTTTTGTGCTTCTCGAAATGGGACCCATGGTTCCTGAAAGTAGTGAATCAGATCGAGATCCAGGAATTACAAATGACAATGGACATACTCTGGGCCTATGATTGTGATGATTATAACAAAGGCAGATACGACGCCAATAAATATGCCTTGCACCTGTATTGATTACTCGCCTTTAGCAAAGCCACAGCACGCCAGATAAGATACGTACTTTTGCATAATTTGGTACTACGGTTGGTTGACCGTCCACGTACAGGATGGTTTTAATGTTGTTGCCTCCAGCTAAATGATAAAAAATAGTTAAGAATGCTATATTATTGGGGGGGATTGTACTTACTAGCTTCAATTTGAGCCGAAGCAGAAGATACCATCTGTCATAATCAAGTCTGAGCAAACTGATATGGTAACAATACTCGCACGTACATTGCCTAGCTGATACGCAACACCTGGGAAGAAGGCACGGAATGCAGGAGGAGACATCTCTGCGAGCTGGATAGGAATCTATTATTACGTAGCATTCAGCACAACCTGGGAAAGCCTTGAAAGAGAAAAAGGCATACCACACCCCACGCTCCTTGCACCCCGAACTGGATACAAAATGCTCCTGCAGAAAGAGCAGAGAATGAAGATGGAAGGATCCAAAGTGGGATAAAAGCTAGAAAGGGAGAGTGGTGATGAGAAAATCACGATGAGGATGAGTTGAAGGGGACACACCTGCCACTAAGATCACGCAGAGCCTGGTCAGAATATCAGTTTCCGGAAGGGCTGATGTCTGCATATGAAACTCTTACACGATAGTCAAACGACGGCCAATGTATTGGCTCAACCAACCAGCAATACAACCTCCTCTACAAACTCAACTTTAGCTTAGCCGTAACACTACTTAGATACGAAACATACGCGATAGCACCCTATGATACTATATTAATTTTCACTGAAAGACAAAAGAAAGCACAGAACACTTACGCAGTTACCAATGATGGTGGCGATAGTAGCATCGTGGGTGGAGAAGCCTTTGTCTTTCTCCATATAGGTTGGGTATAGGTCCTAAGAAAACTTTAAATAGTTGTACATATCACGCAGAAAGTTTAGTATACTTGAGATCCATGTGACAAAAAGTTGAACCCTGGAGGGAGCATTGTTATTAGTGTCAAACAAGATGAAAAATTTTCAAGATGCGCCTACCAGTCATCAAGAGAACAGCATAGATACATAAAAGCCAGTGTCGCTTGAGCATTTCCTTCGTTTCCCTGATAAAAATCTTTGTTTTCTTGGACGTATTGGTTCCTCGTGCCTTCTCGATCGCCTTGGCCCTCAAGAATACTTCACTTTCTGGGAGGACAGCTCTAACAGCCGCAGCGAATAACGATAACCCTGCTGCTGTCCAGAAAAGGGTGCGCCAGCCTTGCTTCGTGTCGGCCACAAGAGTTAAGTTAATTACAGCAGCGAGTAGGTAACCGACAGCATATCCCTGTTGGACGACACCACTAGCAAGGCCACGAGCCTCAACCGGAAGATTCTCGAGGGCAGTTGAAGCTGCTAGACCCCACACACCGCCCATGACGATACCATAGAGTGATCTCACCGCGAGAAACTGTTTGTAGGTCTGGACAAACCCAGAGCCTAGTTCGAGGATGCAGCATAGTATAAGATTGAAGACTAGGGGCCACTTTCGACCGAAACGATCCGACAAGATACCAAAGATAGCCTATATGTTCATTCATTACCGTCAGTGCCCCTGTTTCAAGATCGATTAACAAAGTACGTACGGCCCCAGCTGATCTAAAAAGCAAAGTCAACGTGATAGATGTCGTCTACGACAATTTCCCAGCATCAACATCCCATAACGTTGTATTTTGAACCTTCGAGTGCGACTCACTATGGTCGCTGTTGATTTTCCAAATTGCGTGGCCAGTGGGGTAACGGCGAGAGATACACTGAAAAAATCGATAGCATCGCAAGTCCATGCCAACCACCTGTTGATTTATGGGGTAAATTAGTATTTTTGCGGGGTACAGTGATCTCGATGGAACTTGCCCAGCAAAACAGTGAGCCCACTGAATCCAGGTCAGATGTCTGAGTACGGTGAGTAGAGGCTGTCCCCCTTGACGCTGCTCACGACGCGGAACGAGGTTGCGAAGGAAGTATGGAGCCATGGCGGTTGAGGACAAGAGCACCAAAGGGTGTCCATGTTCCGGTCAGCCGTACTATTTGAGATCATTACTGTGACAGCGTCTATAGGTATCGGCTATCTCAGGCACGAATATACATAAAAGAGTTGATATGTTGCCTCGGCAAGATATCGGGTGGGAATATAGTTCCATATAGCGGAGTTGCGGACTTCAATATATATGATCAGCGGCAGTGGGGCAGCCCTAATTCGGTATTCCAGTTTCGTCGGACATCAAATATGAATATAATATATCTAGTCCACACACCCGACTATCTCGATCATTGCAGTATATATCTTCCGTTCAACCGTTGGACTCACTTACACCATGGGCGCTGTAGAGCGTGCAACCACCACGAAGAGCACAACCTGCAGAAAATGAGTGCGCTCGCCAGAATTTCTCCTAGCCGAGACACAAAAGCCAAATATCTTGAATAACCTACGCAAGTAAGCATTTCGGGGCGATCACTTTTTCACCTTCTTCCCCCGTCTCGTCCCTTTCTTCTCCTTGGCTTCTTCAACATCTGCTTTCCTTTTTTGCCCCGTCTTTGGCCCACCACTTTTCACGCTGACCACAGTGGCTCCATCGATACCCTTAGATAGTTTGGTGATCTGTGCCTCCGCCATAGTCCAGTCCGCAGAGGCCTCGTTAATTGCATACCTGTTCGTCATCAATTTATAGATGCCCTAATGAGTCAGATACTTCACAATGAACATCATCGATTCATGATACGCACTTGCTAAGATCAAGAGAGTCGATTATCTCTCGCTGCTGTTCTCGCAACGCCTTTGTAGCCTCATCTCCCGCTTCCTCCAGTTCATCCTCTAGGGTGGTTTCGACAGGCTTCCAGTTAGTCCCGGACACTCCTTGTTCGCCGTCTGTATTTGCTACGTTCAGCGAGGCCTCATTTGGTATATCGGCACTGATAGCGGCTTTTTGGATGTCAATCAAATTTTTGCTAATTTTTCTGATGACTTTAACAAACAAGGCCAACGCTTGAGAGACTGGTAGTGATAATTCCGTCTAAACGCGATGATCATTAGATTTTCTGAGCCAGTTGAAAGATCCCGATACCTCACCTCGACCTCCTCGATAGTTTTTCTTTGCAAGCCCAATCCTAAAAGAATAGAGCTTTGGATTGCACTAAGCCTGACTTCATCTCCTAGTCGCTTTTCAAAATATAGTGATGCTGCTGTAGGTAGAAGATCTAATATGACATGATAATCCAGCATATTGTTTGCATATGACTCTAGACGTTTTAGATCAAAGGGTGTCATGATGATTGAAAGTTCTGAAGATGTAAGTCCTGGAAAAGTTCGTCAATACTCGTCGAAGAGGGGCATCATAGGAGAGCTAGTACCTCGAGACTTGTTCGCATCAAGCACCTTAAGACCCGCATTAGCAGCTTCCAAAACGCTGAGGGCTGTAACGGAACCAAACTCGCGGAATTTGAATGATAGGAGTGATAAGAACCGTCGTCTGAAGTCTATCAAATATTTAGAGAAACCATTGAGCAGAGCAGCTTAGCTTACCTTTTGCGAATTCACCCATCCACTCTAATTCGCCCTCCGAAGAACTGTTCAGGCCGCGCACCATTACACAAGTGTGTTCACCTGTTAGCTCGCTGGTGGTTTGGCGTACGTACAATGGTACATAGCCAGCTCTCTTCCAGAATCTGTAGGAATGTTGAGCATAGTACAGCGTTATCTGCAACAAGCACAGTTACCGTAGGAGCTGGGGCGTCAGACCATAGGAGACCCCAAGGTAATCCAATGTTTCAGGTTTCTTCTCTGATAATCGTTGAAGAAGTGGGGGCATCGCTGTAGGAGCACGGATAGTAGGGAGATCTGATTGCAAGTCCGTCGACTAGGTGCATAGTGAGTACTACAGTGAGCCAACATTCCAGCTCCATACTCACAGAATCTATAGCAGCAGGATCCGGATAAGATGGTTCTGCCCGAGTAGTTTCATCCAGGTTAAAGTATTCCCCGCTGTAGAATGAGTTCAACGCTTTAAGGGCTCGAGATCCATATCCCATCTAAGCGGCGGTCAAAGGGATAAAAACATATCAGCGGCTCAAATACTCACATTGGCATAATCGGGGTGCGTTGCTATACGAACGACGCGAGCTCCAGATAACAGAGCAAACTTACTTTCCTGGAACTGCTGCGATACTAGCCATGGAATCATATCTCCACCAGCCCGCAGACCTCGACTCAGCCCATCCATGATGGCTGCTTTACTGATATTACCTTCCAGCGCCACTTGAATGACAACTAACGGTTCTGGAAGATGGCTCTCGTCATCTTTTATGGGAGGTAGTAATACGAAAAGATGATGGGCAGGGGCATCAGACATCAGCTGCAAGTCGTTCGGTTGATTCTTGTAATGGCTGGCAACATAGAGGGCCATCATACGCTGCAAGAAAACCTCCGACGCGGGGTTGTAGCTGAACAGCGTATCTCTACTTACGTAGTAGAGCTCACAGGTAGATGGGTGAGGGCAGCCCTGTTGACTTCCCTTAGATACAATCGTCGCATCAAGACACAAGAGGCTATTCAGCCATTTCTCGATCCTGTCGCCAGCAGAGTAACGAATAGGCGTCTCAAGTTTTATTTCGCGAAGTGTCCTCGCTTTTGAGGGCGCAGAGCGAGTGCTTTCTCGTAGTTGTTGAATGAGTTTTAGAGAAAGGGAGCGACCGGTGCCTTCATAGCCATTGATAGTTGAAGCCATGAAGACGAGGTAAGGGCCAATGAGGTTGCGCACGAGAGGAAGTGGAATAGCAGCTGCTTCGTCGATGATGACTAGCTCAGCCTGGCCCAGGACATGAGCGTCTTCAGGTTGAATATACTACGTCTGGGGATGAGCAACGGCCAAGTATATTAGCATCCTTACAACTTACCTGGATAGTTTGTCTATGTTGGCGGAAAACATTGACTCGGACAATGGCTTTGTTAAAATCGGGATTTGTGCTCTGCGCTATGTCGTAGTCCAGATGTTCTTCATAGCCAAGAGCGTCCATACCCTTGAAAATGAACTCAAAGAGAGTCTTCAGATTCTCTGGACTAGGACTTGTCACGAAGATATTTGAGTAACCGTGTGCAAGTGCGGCTGCTATTGCAAGACCGAGCGCAGCTGACTTTCCACGACCACGAGCGGCGGTGAGGGTGACAGTCGAGGACAATGTCTTCTCCGCGATAGCATCAACAAAAGTGAGGATAGCTTGGGCCTGGTCAATCGTTTTGGCGAGCTTCACCAGTTCACCTATAGGCTTGGTATCCGCAAGGCTATCCTTGAGTTCCTTGAGTTCAGAGTCTGCCTTCCCCTTGCCATGCTCCTCCTCGATAGGTACTATATCTTTCGCTTTTGATATAGGAAGTACGTTGAGCTCATCGTCGAGAACCAAACAGTCCGCACACGATCCTAAGGACAATATGAAGCGTTCGTTGAAACGTGCGACAACAGAATCATGAGATGACGTTCGATAGCGTGCATGGACGTCCTAAAAGACGATGAATGAAAGTCCAAGCTAGAAAAAAGGAGGATCAAACCATAGTCATGGCGTACAACTGCCTCAGAGATGTCATTGTTTTCAACAACAGGACCACTAAACCTCCTCCTTCTACTGTCTCGATTGTCCGCGCAAGAAGATTCGGTGTTACGGCTTCAAAGTCTTGAAGTACACACATGCCATAGGTATTTCCAAGAATCTTGTGTGACTCCTTATAATATCTGCAAAAGATGAAAACATACGGAACAAGCAGACCACACAAGACTCACGTGTAACGGATATCCGTAACGGTGACGAAAATTTCGAAAGGATCTTGTTCATTTGGCTCCCTAACTCCTCGTTTGACGTCGCGTTTGATTCTGGCTTCCCGCTTTTTACGATGGCTATATGAGAATGTAGGTTAGGCATCAGACTCATAAAATCATCGGTAAATGCAGTATGTTTAACAAATTTCCCCGCCTACTGCATGTTCGAAAGTAATGCACCTAAGAGTGCAGAAGAAGACACTCACGTTGTAAACCCCAGATCTTTCTTATAACACCATAGCACAGATGGACGAGCAGAAACTCGAGCTTGAGACAAAAGAAAATGAAGATTTACGATCTAAAACACCGTTAGAAAAAATTTACAAGAGATAGTTAGTGCTGCTCACTTGATCTCTTCCCTTGTCCCCTACAAGTACTATGAATGACCGGTGGTTTGTCTTGACATTGTTATTGACGAGGATAGGGATCCGAGGATCAAGTTGTTTGCGCATATAATTATGTTCTTTCTGAAGCCTTTACTGCAATCTATAATGCTGTCGGTACGTTCTTTCTGATAGCAACTTGAAAGGTCGATGATGTCTTCCGAATCGCTGTCCAAAAAGCTGCAGAGCAGTAATTTTCGTTCCCACGGTCCTTGAATCACTTCCTCAGTGCAAAGCGCTTCAATTCATTTTCAGATAATCGCATCAGCTCTGTCTGGGGCCAAAAGTTCGCTGTAAATTTCTGAATATGTGTGGAGTGACATATCCAAGTAAAACTACAACGGTTATAGTCTTTACAGTAAAGTCATGGTGTCTGTCTTATTGATGGTGAGCGCTACAACCAACCCCTTTTGCATTATCATGTGAGACTCGGAGGTCAGCATTTGGATGCTAGATTCATCATGTATCAGATGAAGCTCGGTCGAAAAACATTCGGTTCCGACATGACGAGTCATCGCCATAGCATGTGGGCTCTTAATCAGAAGAAATATGACTCTTGAGTACTGGTGAGCGCTTTTCCTCGTCACTTTAATAACGTACCATTATTGAAAACCTAAAATTTCGCCTCTGAGTAATATATCAAAGTTCTTATCCGACACCGAGTCATTAGTAAAACCGGTAGGCTGATGTTTGTCTCTTGCATTTGGCTTCATGACAATGTTGCGGCAATCACGGCAAATCAGGGGTTTGCAGAATGGAGTGAGCCACTTTCTCAACATTAGACTATAAATGACATAGGCGGGATGCATATAAGAGACAGGTTGCTGCTGGTCCTACACCCATCTCTGCTTGTCGTCCTTTCACAGCCATGTTTGCAGGTCTCATCCCCTTACCGTATTGGTCACTACTCCCTATTATAGCCTATACTACTCGCCTAGGACCACCTAATGCGAGATGTGTGTTCGCTAAACATATAGCTTGGATGTCACCAGCGAAAACATTGTCTTTCAAAACGTTCGAAGCGATGCCAACCAGGTACTTGATACCTTGAGATGTGGCTACCATAAGCACTGACATCACCTTTCTGTATATAGTCAGAGATCACCAATCTTCTACAACAATTCATCGCGTCGTTCCCGTATGCTTCCAACTTCACTGACACCTACGAGAAAGGAACAGAGCCACTTTCTGGGTCATATCAGCTCTCCGGCACATTATGTGTACCGAAAACGGGCGAGAGGAATGTATCGCATATCCAGTTCCTTGTTCACGGTGTAGGGGTTGATTCCAGGTTTCTTTTGGTTTTACCCTTGAAATACTCTTGATTGACACAATCTTGGCAGATACTGGGACTATACTGCAGATGACGATGAGTACAGCTACGTCAGTGCTTCAGCTGACGCTGGCATTGCTACTTTCCGGTACGACCGTCTCGGAACTGGACTTTCAGAAAAGCCCAAGGATGCTTACAAGTACGTATTCGAGCCCTGACTTGCAGGTTATATTTGCTGATGCGCTAGTCATTCTCAAAGTGTCGTACAAGCCGCGACGGACACAGCTATCACTGTGAAGTTTGCCCAAATGCTTCGCGACGGATCCATTGGTATCAAGGGTCAAAAGTACAACAAGATACTTGGAGTTGGCCACAGCTACGGTTCAATCGTAATGCAGGCTGTTACATCTAATGCACCAACGGCGCTGGACGGTGATATGTTAACCGGATTTTCGGCCAATGCGCAAGTTTGATGATGGCTCTATGATGTATTCTTCCTAACTTGTGATTTTATAGGACTGCAATTCCGGTCACGCTCACATCACTGGCATTCGGGATCGCATCAGTAGTTTCCCCCCATAAATTCCCCGCAAGCGAATTTTCAAATGCTTACCTTGCCAGTTTAGGTGTAAGTCTTTTGATTCTACATAACCGCCTCTAGCTTATGGATCGTCCCCTCCATTTAACGCCCGTAAACTAATCATGTTACATTCATTGGAATACTTCAACCGTCAGCCGTCCAGCTCAATTCATGGGCCTATCCATACTACTCGGACGCAGCTTTTGCTGAAGCAGCGAAGCTAGAGCAACCTGTGTCACAGGGGCTAATTCTCACAAGCAGTGCACCCCCTCGTGTGTCAACTGAATTTTTGGGTCCAGTTCATATCGTAAGCTATCCCTAACTTTGTTTTTTAATTGCATAGTTAACCTGCTCGTTCCACACAACAGGTAACTGGGGACAAAGATTGGATCTTTTGCTTTGCAAACTGCTACGCTGTTCCCCCTGGAAGCACTCGGAATAGTATAATTGACTATGCGGAAGAGCTATTTCCAGCCGCAAGTTCCTTTTCTACGTATATCCCAGGTAATACCGGGTGAGTTACCATCGTTTGCACCTATACCAGACTGTCATCCGCCAACAGGACAGCACCGTAGGCACTCACTCAACCAACACTACTCGGCACCTGATACTTTTCAGAATATGCTCAAGTTTGCTGAGAGTGTGTTCGAACCTTTTCCACGTAGACGTTCTTGATGAGCAATGACTCGTACACAATCACGATATGTATAGTGGTAGCTATATTTAGATCTGAATATATCTCGGCAGACCATATAATACTTATGACCAGTCTATCACAAATCGCCAGTATACTGCAAAAGACGAACAGCTGCTAGACCAATTCTACACATTGTGGTATCAGTAGTCATCACCCCTGCTCACTACTTCTTTTACTGTGGGCCGCAACAATATCGTGTGCTCCTGCAAATGAAAGTGAAATTATGGATTGAGAAAGTAAACGACGAACGTACAAACTGTGCAGTCATAGCACCCCGTGCATCGCACAAGGGGGGATAATCATGTACAATCCCTTGCGTTACCAAGTGATTGAGCTGTAAGGATGCATTTCATATGAAAAATTAGGACATTCAGACAGTGAGTAGCAACTAACCGCTAGCAGATACTTGCTCTCTCCAACTCGATCAAGATAACGCCGACAGAAAGGTAGGGTACCAAAATTTTTCGTGATAGACTTCAACAGAGATTTTGCCGACGTAAGGCTAACGTTCGTCGTTAGGATCATGATCTTCAGCTACAACGGTAGGCATACTCACCGGAGTGGTACATGTGGGGCATCGTAGATCTTGGCATAATGCGAGCAGTCTCCCTGGCCGGCATGTTTCAGAGTCAACATCTTTGGCATCGACAAGAGTGACACACATACACTTTCAACGACCCGTCCCCTGCCAGTCGATCCGAATGTCTCTATCGCAAAATATTCACCTTCTTCCATTTTCGTCTGATCCTCATTCTTTACCAGCATGACGGATTTTCCACCGTGTATTTGATACGGATTGATAGAATGTCCACTCAGGTTCTCTATGCACTTCACTACAAAGAATTTGTGAGTTACTCGAATGTAGTAGCTAAACATTGCAACAGACGAACCGGGATAAACTTTACCCCCGACTTCAACTTCATATGACTCCATTGTCTCTTGTATGGCAGCACCAATTTCACCTAAACGAACATCAATGCCCGCTTCCTGTTATTGACAGTACAGGTTAGAAAGAGCACCTTGCATCTGAGTGGTGCATAATCACGCGTATTCCAGTGTTTGTTGCTGCTTTGACAGCTTCCACCAACTTGTCATAAGTTGGCTCCCAAGTAAGCGTAAACGCAGAGTCCAGGATTCTTCCCTTGACGTGCACTCCGAAATCGACCTTTAGTACGTCGCCATTTTGTAGGACTGAAAAACAGTTTAGCTGTGCCCCATGTAACATATGATGAGTTAAGCTGTACTTGTCGTGTCGCCAGCATTTGGCGTGTAGTGCGCGGCGCAGTTGTTCAGACTTAAACCAGTGGGAAAGCCAACACCCGACTCCAAACCGCTTTCCTCCACCAAAGCACGAGTGCCGTCTTCAATATTCTCTGCGATTTGCGTCATAGTCATTCCAGGACGTATGTGCTTTCGTGCGTGCCTTCGAACCTGCCTGTGAACTTCAGCAGCTCGGCGAATGCTCTGATATGTAAGCTCTGGATCTTCGTTTGCTATGCGTTCATTATATCGCTTTTCTTCTGAAGTGGTTCTCCAGGTATTCCTGTAATATGATAGATCTCAGCGGCAGTAAGGAGATTGGACGATCGGATTCAAACACACTCGTCTTTGTAAGGCTGTATCTCACCCTCTGGATAAATACCGTCAGGGAAGAACTTGGACAGACCAATTCTAGGAGGATCGCTTTGTTCAGCCTTCTTCTTCTTAGGTTTCTTCTTCTTCTTCTTCTTTCCCTCTCCTGTTTGGATATTATGGTCGTAAGAGACAGAAATAAAATCAAACCAAAGTCGTTACCTGTCCCAGAAACCTCAACAGGGCCATCGTCTTCGCCCTCGTCGTCGTCGCCATCATGCAAGGTTGCTGGAAGGTCTTTCTCAGGATTTACGCCGTTCTCTGTGCTGGGTGAAGTGACTGTCATTTGGGTGGAGGTTGCGGATTGGGGACCCAGTACTTAGAGTTCGGATGTCATCATGAGGAAAGTCACGTTGTACTCACGGTATGGTTACATGTGCCTCATTCAGAGACCGCATGACAACTTGAAGCTGAACTTGCCACTGCTATCCTTCGAAGCAATTATACCTTGAATTTGTCTACACCCTGAGCAATCAATCAGCTATTCTTTTAAGTAACGCTGTAATCCCTTCTCTTGGAACACACATCAAAACCCATAAATTTCATTCATATCGGAACTTCTGCCAGTGCCAATGGGACTGCATCAACTTTTTTTGTCATAGATATCACGCACGTTCTTGCTTGAGCCTGAGTCTTGGTGTCTTTCATTGGCTCATAAGCGGATTGTCGGTACCGGTATGCAACGGGTCACCAACATTAGATGTGGGTCTTCTTATAAACCTGATCTGTGTTACCTTTCTGATTTGAGGCTATTAACACGGCGACGAAACTTGTGCCTCTGCGTCGCCTTTGTAAAGGCTCAAAGTTTGTCATCCGAGTCATGGCATTGTGGCCTGATGCTGCCTGATGCAGGTAAATCCATCCTTCACATTGTTTGCATGCATGAAATGACTGGGAACAAATGAGCGCATCTTGGATACTGTGTCATTCAAAACCACGAATGAGCCAGGAGGTAGTGTGGTATTTCCTAAATTTTCAACCCCTGTATATTTGCTCACTGCAACCCACATCAACCGAGAAAAATCTTGAAGCTTATCACTACACGACGGACTAGCTCCGCTAAGACCGGACGGTATACCGGGGTGGGTCCACAGTACAGTCAGCTATCCAATCCAATTGCAAATCTCATAGGGATATGCGTATATGAGGCCCAGTTCATAACGATTTCACAAAACTGTACTGTGTGGCACTCCCCCCTCTAATATCGCGATGTTCGCGGTTCTCATCTTATTATGTTTGGCGTTGACCCCTGTCATAGCCTATGCTTCTCGCCTTGGACCACCTAATGCGATTTGCACTCGCCAAACTTACAGCTTAAACATCACCAGTGACAACATTGTCTTTCAGAACGTTCGAAGCGATGCCAACGAGGTATTTAATCTTAATGCATCACAAAGATTCCACAAGTACTAATCCCTTTTTTTTTCTCCCTCAGTCAGAAATCACTAGTTATCTACAACTTTTCATTGCGTCTTTTCCGTATGCGTCCAACTTCACCGACACGTACGAGAATGGAGTGAAACAAATTTCAAATACATACCAACTCTCCGGGACACTTTGCATCCCAAAATCAGGCGAGAAAAACGCATCGCACATTCAGTATCTCATGCACGGTGTCAGCTTTGATTCGAGGTCTTTCGGTTTCTCGACGTTTAGCATGGTCTTCGTTGATTTTATGTATTACTAGGTACTGGGACTTCTCTGTTGATAACGACCAATATAGCTATGTCAGTGCTTCGGCTGATGCAGGCATTGCTACTTTCCGATATGACCGACTCGGGACTGGACTTTCCGAAAAGCCTCACGATGCCTATACGTAGGTATCGAATTTCATATTTACCAGTGCTATCTACTAATACGCAACCGACTATTTCAAGTATTGTACAACGGGCGACAGACGCCGCTATCACCGCGAAGTTTGCTGAAATGCTTCGTGATGGATCTATTGGTGTCGAAGGCCAAAAGTACACCAAGATCGTAGGGGTAGGGCATAGCTATGGCTCAATTTTGATGCAAGCTGTCACTGCCAGTGCGCCAACGGCGCTTGACGGGGTTTTATTAACAGGATACTCATTGAATTCGTGAGTTGTTGAGAAATATTGATAATTTTATTCGCGCTAGATTTGATAATGTATGGTTTCTTAGGAGCTCGACTCCAGTCGTGCTGACGTCACTAGCATTTACCACTGCATCGTTGGCTTTCCCTAATCTATTCCCCGCAGCTAACTTCTCAAACGCGTATCTTGTCAGTTTGGCTGTATGTCTTTTTGGTTCCCATCCATCTACTTTAAGCTTACTGACGATGTCTCTTTCTTTTGTTGGTCTTTTTCACGAACCCATCTTGCTTACTCGCATGCTGGGATACTCTAGCCACAAACATTCCAACTCAATTTCTTTTACTATCCGTATTACTCTACAGCAGTCTTTGACGAATCCTTGACCGTCGAGCAGCCTGTCACGCAGGGTGTGCTTTTCACTTTCGGCACAACTCCTAACGTGTCGAGCTCATTTTTGGGACCGGTTCATGTTGTGAGCTACTACAACACCCTCGTCGTTTATTCAGTTGCATTACTGACACCATTTCAAAGGTGACGGGAGCCAAAGACTGGAACTTTTGCTATGGAAATTGTTATGCCGTTCCAAGCGGTAGTACCCAAAAAACTATAGTTGACGACGTGAAAGAACTGTTCCCAGTCGCGAGCTCGTTCTCCACGTACATCCCACCCAATACCGGGTGAGTCTTTTTTTTATAGCTCTGATATATCGTTCACTAATTAATCCCACAAGGCATGCTGTCAATCTTCACTACTCAGCGCCTGATACTTACCGCGACATGCTCAACTTCGTTGAGGGGGTATTTACGTCGTAGTGTCTCGAGTATTACAGTGAGCAGCGAAAGGGTTTATGTTAGTGATGTTCGGGTCTTATCCCTCCGACTTATTGCGTATCAGGATAATTCATGCCTGCTTCCCTCGATTTCGCACCGTGCATAAAGCGCTGAGGATAACAATGAACCACGCTTACTGCTGCATTGCTCGGATAGACCAGCTATAGGTTGGGATGTATCTTATGTGACAATCTCGAAATCTCCTCCTCTACTGCAGGAACTCGAATCATGTGATTGAAGATACTGTGAAGTGAATATGAATCACACTAGTCTATGAAGGACGGTGCTAAGTATATCGGTTGATCAATGATGCAGTCGGCTCGACTATTCTTGCACTGTATTCAATAGGAAGCTTTATGCTGTGAATGTGCGAGTTGTTACATTCAAGGCTTTGAGGTCTCGCCGAAAGACTTTTATCATTAATTAATTACAATTGCAACTGCGACCTCAACGGCCGCGCAGACCGGGAAGCTGAATAATAACCGGTGCTGGCGGTAGTGTTTCCGGGTCAAGACTGCGGGGTTGTAGGATCTTTCTTTCTCTGCAACTATATCCAGTGAAGGTATCGACACTTTTTAGAAGACGCGCTCTGAGCATTTCTTGCCAGTGGCATGTCACAGCCAATTCCTTTGTCTCGTCTGAGATCACCCGTTCTTTCTCGGTTTCTAACAGAAGAAGATCAGCCAGAATCACCGCAAGGCCTCGATGATGTGTTTCCCCACTCAGCGTCCTTCGACGATTCCCCAGACGCCATAAAAACTCCCTGGAAACGTAGTCTCTATGAGTTGCTCGAATTACCAACGTCGTCTCCTTCAGCCTTTCTCGTTCATGTCGCATCAACATTTTTAATCGTCTTTTCTGCCCTCGTCACTGTTCTGGAAACAGTTCCAAGCTTTCACTCCATCTCGCCTCGCGTTTGGTTTGGTTTTGAAACCAGCTTGGTCGCGCTTTTTACTGTGGAATACGTCGCTCGTTGCATCGCCTGGAGTTCTACTTGGTGGGGTCTGGTTAAATGGGTTATATGTATGTCCAGTGTTTATGACGCATATACCCATGAAACTGAGAAATAAACAGCATTTTACGGAGTTATCGACATTCTCGCTATTTTACCATATTACATCGAAATTATATTGCAACAAGATACTGTGGGTCCTCTTATCTTAATTCTGATCTGTACTACTGGAGTATCTTGGACTAGTCTGTCCTTTTTAGATTCTCGATTCTTCGAATGTTTCGACTACTGCGCGTTTTTCGACCTTTCCGTTACAACAATACCATACTTCTGTACGTGGCGTTCAAACAATTATCATAATTCACTATTGACCTCCGAAAAGCACTATTGAAGTGATGTATATCTCTATTCGGAGATCACAGCATGCCTTACTCGCACTAAGCTTCTTCGTAGCTATGATGCTGACTGTTTTTAGCACTTTGCTGTGAGTTTTAATCAATGTATTATTGCCATTTGTTCACTGAAGCATGTTGCCTTGCAGATACTTTGCTGAACGTGGTACATGGGATAATACACTAGAAACTTTCATAAATTCTGATGGTGACCCATCTCAATTTGCAGTAAGCTTCTCTGTTCGACAATCCAAATACTATTTTCTCACAGCTTTCCATAGTCTATACCAGCAGCCGCTTGGTGAGTTTACCTTCCGCCGACTATTATCGATAAGATATTCATGGCTATCTTAGGTTCGTTCTAGTCAGTAAGTTGATCCGCGCAATCTACGTCATACAGTTGCATGACTCTTTCTACTAGCCATAACAACGGTGGGATACGGTGAAATTACACCTCGCTCTTTCTTAGGAAGGCTTATTACTGTTCCACTGCTCGCCTTGGGATTGCTCCTTATCGCGCTTCCGAGTTTTGTTCTTGGAAGAGAATTTAGTTTAGTTTGGGACAAAATGGCCGGCGATCATGTACGTCTCGCTTTCGTGTGTTTAACCTCTTTGGCTGACTATGTCTCTTGTCCTCCTATTGGCACATAATCTAATAGGATCTACCCCTCGATCTCGATACACCGGCCATGTCATTCACAGGGCAACATCGTCGCTTGGAGTCCCAATCGGATATCGGACGAGACCTGACAAACCGTAAGCTCGCACAGAACCAGACGGAGCTAAGTCGTCAAATATCAGAATTGCGAATGACGATAGACATGCAAAGTGAAATGATCAAAGACCTGATAGGCGCATTAGATTCAGACGTGTCGAGGGGCAAACGCAAGGAGCGGACCTCAAGTATTGGTACCCGAAATTCTCTGAGCTGACCTAGGAAATGGACTAGGCTCTACTAATTCATTCCAGATTACATACACATACATTACAGTTGTATTATGGGCTATAGAGGGTGGTATCTAGTACACCAAACAGGGAAAACATGCACATTGTATACAGCAATTAACAACAGGAATGTCATTTTCCATTCATTCCCTTCTAGTGCTCAGTCTCTTCCGAGGTCCTGCCTACAGTTTGAATCAAGTCACTTCAGCGATCTGTTTATCCTCTAGGGAAGCACTCATATTGAATCTTAACAAACAGTTGCCAGGCTTCTCAGTCTTCTTGATTTCACTTCTTATTCTTGATCACCTAAAGCAGGAGCTTAATCCATTATGTAAGGACCCAAAGGGCCATTTTTTTGTCGATGAGTTTTGGGCCTCAGGGATTCCCTCGCAGCCGAGGTATGCATCTTTATGGCTTGCAAATATATTTATCTGATGGATATTCTACCCTCAAGAGCTTGATATGTGCGTTGAAGTGAGGTTGGATAATGTCCAGAGCCTAATTATGCACTGTGATACCCTATCTAACCCTCCCAAAATCCTCTCTCCTCTTTTATTTCCTGTTTTGGGTTATGGTGGCATTCTGCTACATGAAGGCACTATCTGTCAGGTAGAATAATAGTAGCATATGCTGTTTAGTATATAGAGATATTAAAGGTGATATTACGGGCCAGAATTCCCAAAGAAAGCGAAAAAAAACATATGTAGCCAGCTACTTCCAAAAGTGGTAATATATGGACAATTGACTGACAAATTATGACATTTGTATATGGTATGAGAAAACATATATGGGCCAGGGCTTGAACCTGGGACTCCAGCTTTCATGGTCTGGTGCTTTACCAACTAAGCTACCAAGGCATACTTGGAAAGTGTACTGATTGGTTGCATGCCCAGAAGGTCCAGAATCACTGTACATGGGTGCAGATCCCATGTAAAACCTCTATCCCCTATACCGAGTTAACGGAGGGATAAAAGCTCAAATCAAACAAGTAGCGTTTCAAGTAGCGATTGAGAATTAATCAACAACTGAGGAAAATATGTACATGATGGTCTACTATATATATGTTTCTGAAAGTCAGCCATGAGGCGCTGACTGATGTTCTTTGTAATGATTCTAGACTTATGTCACGTGATGGTCACGTGATCTGATATAACTACGTATTTATGTTATCCGCGCTAAAGCAGCAGCTTAACATATCTTATCTGTCATGTGATCAGATATCGAAGAAAATGAAAAAGGAAATTAGCGCTCAAACTAGCGCTTCTGGTTCAAGTCGTGACATTACCCCCTCCTTAGGACTTTTGTCCCGAAAGTAGGGGTCCATCTTTCCGTTTTCCCAATTAAACAGTTGTTTTCGGACTCTAGTCGTTGTGAAGTTTTCGAAGGGTTGGAAATGTAATTGAAATCGGATCCGTCGGGGTGCACTAGGGTTGTTATCATGGAATGTTTTTACTTTGTCGGGTGAGTTGTTTAGGTGTTGTTCGGGTTCCCACGTGCGTTCCTCTTTTGGATAGTTCTTCCAATGTACTAAGTATTCTAATTTCCCTCGTTTTAGACGTGAGTCTAGAACTTCTTCGACTTCGTATTCTTCTTGTCCGTCTACTATTACCGGCGGTATCGGTTTAGGTTTCTGTTGGGAAGGGAACTGTGGTTCTTTGTACGGTGTAAGCTTTATCTCGTTGAAAACTGGATGAATAGGCCGCCATGTCGGTGGTAGTGCTAGTTTATAGGCCGATTTGCCTATCTTTTCCAGTATTTCAAACGGACCGTGTCTCTTATCGTCCAGTTTCTTGGCTGGTCGATCTGTTGAGATATTGGTCGCTTCTACGTACACCTTATCTCCTACTCTATATTCTACTGCTTCTCTCTTCTTCTTATCGTACTGCTTCTTCATTTGTTCAGCTGCCTTTTGCAGTGATTCTTCTGCTCTCTTCCTTGTTTCCGTCATTCTCTTTATGAAATCTTCTGCATTTTCGTTTTTTACCCCCACTTTCACTACTTCCTGTGTTCTCGGATGATGTCCATAATTCAGGTAGAACGGGCTATATCCCGTCGCAGAATGTTGTTTGTTATTGTAAGAGAATTCTGCTAGGGTAAGCCATTCTGCCCAATCATCTTGTTTATGGTTTACGAAGATTCTGAGATACTGTTCTATTTCTTGATTGATCCTCTCCGTCTGTCCATCCGTTTGTGGATGCCAAGCCGTTGATGGGTTTGCTTTTATCTGAAGAAGCGTATGTAGATCTTTCGTGAATTTTGAAACGAATTGCGGTCCCCGATCTGAGATGATCTTTTCGGGTATGCCGTGGTTTCTAAATACATGATCTCTAAATAGCCGTGCCACTCCTTCTGATGTGATCTCCATCTGTGTGGGAATTACTTTGATCATTTTGGTAAATCGATCTACTACTACCATTATCATGTTATATCCGTTTGATTCTGGTAGTGGTCCGATCAGATCTACTGATATGATCTGCCAAGGCTTATCCGGGATCTCGTTTGGATGAAGCGGTGCTGCTTTTCTCTTATGGTCTGTCTTGGTTCTTTGGCAGGCTTCGCATCCATCTACGTATCTCGTGATATCTCTGTCCATGTAGGGCCACCAGTATTGTCGAGTGATTAGCTCCTTTGTCTTATATCTTCCTGGATGGCCTGCAATGACAGAGTCGTGGTTTCGTCGGATAATTTCTTCCCTTAACGCGGCATCTTTTGGTACATAGATCCTGCCTTTGAATACTATGCGACCGTCCTCGTCTAGCCATCCATCCTCTCTCCTCTCTATCTTTCCTTTCATCTTTTTTATCAATTCATCTACATTTCCTTTTCTCTTTGTAATCCACTTTGAAATCTCTAATTCTTCCTCTTGACTATCTGCGATCTTTTGTCTTTGTTCCGGAGAGAGAGTCATTCTTACAAATAGTTTCTCATCCAGTAGTATGACGTCTTCGTTGTCGTTTTCTCCTTTGTTATGATCTGATCGCCTTGAGAGAAGATCTGCTTTTATATGCTTCCTTCCTGGCATATGATGTATCGTGAAATGATACTGGCTCAACTCTGTCATCCACCGCGCCTGTCTCCTGTTCAACTTCTTGGGTTCTTTGAAATACAGCAGATTTTGATGATCTGTCCATATTTCAAATTCCTCTTCTGCGTCTATTAAGTAATGCCTCCATCCGTTAAGTGCCGTCATGATGGCAAGAAGTTTTTTGTCATAGATCTTGTAATTGCGTTCTGTGGGGTTTAACGCTTTGGAGAGGTATGCAATTGGCTTCCAGTCATCTTTTTGTCTTTGTGATAAGACAGCACCCATAGCGAAGTCACTACTATCTGCTTCTACTTTGTATTGGCCATGTGGTACTGGGAGAGCTAACACCGGGGCTGAAGCTACACGTTGTTTTAATGTGTTAAATGCTTCTTGTTGTTCATTTCCCCAAATGAAGTCCTCTTTTCCCGTTAACTTGGTCAATGGTTTGGCTACTTCCCCGAAGCCCTCTATGAACCTTCGATAGAAATTTACAAATCCCAAGAATGCTTGTATGTCTTTCTTATTTTTGCATTCTGGCCATTTGCTGATTCCTTCTACTTTCACCGGATCCATGTGAATTTCGTTTTCTGAGATGATCAGTCCCAGGTATTCCACTTCTGTCTGTTCGAAATCGCATTTTTCTGGTTTAAGATAGAGATGATTTTTTCTCAGGATTTCTAACACACGTCGCGTCGTTGCTCGGTGCGTTTCTATATCCTTTGTGAATATCATGATATCATCTAGATATATGATTACTAATCCTTCATCTATCAATTCTCTAAAAAGCGTGTTCATCATCATTTGGAACGTGGCGGGGGAGTTTGTCAGTCCGAAGAACATGACTAGTGGTTCGAATAATCCCCGATTTGTCCTAAACGCCGCTTTATGCTCATCTCCTTCTCTCATTCGGATGTTATTATATCCCCATCTTACATCCAACTTTGTGAAGTATTTGGCCCCACTCAATTTGTCTACTAGTTCCCCGATCAACGGAAGTGGATATCTATTTTTGATGGTGATATCGTTTAGCTTCCTATAATCTTGAACTGGTCTCAACTTCCCGTCTTTCTTTTTAATGAAGAAGAATGGTGATGCGAATGGGGACTTCGATGGTCTTATTCGTCCCGATTTTAGATTCTCTTTTAGGAATGCATCTAGTTCTTCTTGCTCTCCTCTTGCCAATGGATAGATCTTGCAATCTAGGGAGTGATCTCCTGGTATTAGTTCGATTGCGTGATCCCATTGTCTTCTTTCAGGTAGGGTGTCAAACTCCTTTTTATCAAATACGTCTTTGTATTGATGAAGGTGTTTTGGCACTATCTTTTCGAATCCTCCTTCTTTTCGATCTTTACCTGCGGCTTCTGCTAGCTTCTGTGCCATTGTGCCTTGGGCTCTGATATGGTAATATTGATTGTCGATCGTGGCATCTTCGAAATTATGGAGATTCACCTGTATCATCCTCTCATCTTCTCGTAGTTCCTCAAAGAATATTTCCGGATCCTCCTCTGGATCAGAGATTCGGATTCTCGGTCTGCATTCTTCAGGACATCTTTCAAAGGTCAACTTCGATTCTTTCCAGTCTATTTTAGGATTATGTTTGTTCAACCACTCATGTCCTAGAAACATTTTTCCGTTACCCAGATTGGTTACGGCAAGATGTATCTTCTCGACGTGTCCGTCGATTTCCATGAGCAGTATTACAAATTCATTGATGGCTCCGTTTTTATTAAGAGTTCCATCTGCATTATAGAATGGAATAGGTCTCGGTATCTTCCTTGTCTCATATCTTTTGTCTTTCACAAATTGGGAGTCAATGCAACTCCCCGTGCATCCACTGTCCAATAGTGCTTCGACTGTTTCTGATTGGAGAGTATCTAGTGTAGTAAGCTTACATTTTACGTTCATTTGATTGCCTTGGGTGCCCCTAATGTACTTTTTTGGGGAGGCAATTTCTATGATCGCTTGTATAGCTTCTACTTTTGGCAACCGGTTGATTTCTTTGATCGTTTCCCGGGTTACTTCTCTCGTTCTTTTTTTATGTGTCCAGGCACTTAGAATCCCAATGGATCTTTCTTCCTTTTGGTCTCTTAGCCTGTCTACTACCCACTCTGGGGTCCAAACTTCTGTT